TTTCTCCTCAACTTTCTCTTTTTTCACTGGTTTTAGTGTGATTTCTTCCTTAGATTCTTCCTCTTTAGGCAGCTTTTTAACAGGTTTTAGTACAACTTCCTCAGGTTTCGGTTCTTCAGGTTTCTCTATCCTTCTCACTGGCTTCAATCGTACTTCTTCCGGTTTCTCCTCAACTTTCTCTTTTTTCACTGGTTTTAGTGTGATTTCTTCCTTAGATTCTTCCTCTTTAGGCAGCTTTCTAACAGGTTTTAATACAACTTCCTCAGATTTTGGTTCTTCGAGTCTTTGTATTTGTTTACTTGGTTTTAACTGTACATCTTCTGGTTTTTGTTCAGTTCGTGTTGATTTCTTTCCACGTCTCCATGGTACATCCATTCTTTCAGTAGGTACATCTTCGTTATCAATTTTTTTAGTTATAGTTTCTGGTTTTAATGTTTCCTTTGTTACTGGTTGAAGGACAATACTGCCTGGTTCTTCTTTTTCTTTAGGCAATTGTTTTGCTGGTTTTAATGTTATTTCTTCTGTCAGTTTTTGCTTTTCCGGCTTTTCGTGCCATTTTGCCGGTTTCAGTACTACAGATGTGAAATCTTCAACTTGAGGTTCGTCTTTAACCACTTTTGTTGATTTACTTTTTTCAGGTTTTCGCCATATTGCTTCAGATATTTCTGTAGTATCAGATTTTTCTTTATCAGATTCAATTTCTGTAGTCTTCTTTTGAATTGAAGGTTTTGGTTTACGACGCCATAGAGCTTGTGAAATCTCTGTAGGTTTATCCTCTTCTGATTTAATTTCAGGTTTAATTACTTCAAATGGTTTTATTTCCTCAACTTCTCTCTTTTCTTTTGCTTTTTTGCCTCTAATCCAAGGCACTGGTATATCTTCTTTTTTGGATTTCTCGATTACGGTTTTATCGATGCTGAGGATCGTAGCATCTTCCTCTTCCGCGTATGATATACTTCCATCAGGTTTTTTCTTACGACTCTCTTTTTCAGTAGACTTAATGTCTTCGGCGATTTGGATAATAGTTTTAGATTCTTCTTCATGATATGGTACGGTTTCTTGCTTTTTCATATCAATTGAATCCATACTTTGTATTTTGACGTGTTTCAAATCTACTTTCTCTCCTAATTCCTTCTTCGATATTACTTTGTCTGCTCTTGATGTAGGCTTTAATAATACTTCTTCAAGAGTTTCTTTATGTACTTCTTTTAGTTCCGGTTTTGTTTTCTTTAAGATTATTTTTTCTTCCACCCATGACTTTGACTGTGGCTTTTCTTGTGGTATTTCCTCTTGCTTCTTTACCCTTTTATCAATTGTAGTTTCACGTTCTGACATAACCTTAAGCAAAGCAGTATTTTCTTCCTCTACATATATTCCAATATCTTCGACGTCACGTTTTCTTTCTCGTGCTACCTTTTTGCTTACACCGGGTTTCGACGTGATATCATCGTGTACTTCCGTTGAAACTCGAAGTAACGAAGTATCTTCCTGTTCAGCGTATTCAGTACTTTTAACGATTTCTCTAGTATCTGCCTTTTCTTTTGTGACAGGTTTCAGTTCTAGTTTTTCTAAACTTGGTTTTTGAAGTATTGGTTTAGTAAATTTAGATGATTTTAATTCTACCGTTTCCATCGTTTCTTTTTCGATTTCTTTTTGAACAGGTTTAGATTTTCTTAAGGTAATTTTTTCTTCTGTCCATGGTTTTGCTTCATCTATCACTGTTTTATCCACGTCTTTGCTTGCTGTTCTCACTGGTTTTTCTGTAGAGAGGTCAATCCGCGTAACTTCTTCTACTGAAATTGCTTCAGCTACTTCTTTTGAAATTGGTTTTAGATCTGCCTTATCTAAAGTTAATTTCTCGAGATCTGTTTTTACTATTTGCGAAGGTTTTAGTGAAACGGTTTCGAGCGTTTCCTTAGGTATCTCTTTTCTTTCAGGTTTTGTTTTCTTCAAAGCAATTTTTTCTTCCATCCAAGACTTCGGTTGTTCTATCGTTTCTGTGATAGGCTTTTCTTTTCTTAACTTTTGTGTTTCTTCATCCTTTGAAATTGCAAGCAAAGAAGTGTCCTCTTGTTCGAGAAAATTTATTTTTTCTATATCCACTTCGGAAACTATTTTGGTCTTTGGTTTTCTTTTCTTTAATATAATTTGCTCCTCCGTCCATGATCTTGATTCCTGGGGTTTCTCTTTTTTCGACACAGTTTCATCTAAATGACGCGACGTTTTCAATAAAGTAGTATCTACTTGCTCTCTGTAATGTTCACTAGTAATATCGTCACTAACATATTCTTCGGTTGTTATGCTTTTTGTTGCATCTTTAGGTATCGATTTCAATTTGATTATTTCTAGACTGGGTCCAGAGATATCTTTTTTCTCAATCTTTGTCGGCTTCAACTCAACTTCTTCCAACCTTTCTGACGTTACATCCTTGATAATCTGAGGAGTTTTTTTCAAAATTACTTCTTCCTCGGTCCACGGTTTTATTTGACTCTCGAAGGCTCGAAGTTTATCCAAAGAAGAATCTCTTGATTTAGTTTGTACTTTCCTCCATGGAAGTGAATCGCGAGTTCGAGGTCGGGGTTGAACACGTCCTTTTCGCCAAGGTAGCGATTCATCGCCAGATTGAAGTTGTACTTCAAGTGGTAAACCATTTTCGTCGAGAACTAAAGATCTCAGAGCTGTATCTTCCTTCCAATTCTGATGAAGTTTTGCATCTACATCGATACTGGCACCCGTTTCCGCGGGAACCGCGTAATAGGCTTCTTTTCTTTCTGCAAGTTATGGAAAATTATTATAAATAGATTTTTGAATGTTTTCGACTATTTGTTTGTCACACCATGCGTACATTGTATTAAGAAAAAGCCTTATTTACATTATACGATTAAATTAAGGTAAAATCTATTTATAAATTCATAATAACTTATCAATCTTTTGGCATTTGTCATAAATAAGTATTTTGTGCGATAATATCTTTACAATGTAATTGTATACGACATAAATGCGTTTACAAATTTATTTTGTAATCGCCGAATAACAAGGAATAGATTTTGACCGAATTAACTTCCTAGGACAGAATCTGGCAAGGCATTTTGCCAGATAACTGACCTTGGAACAGTGGATTATTTGAGTTATTAATGTATAACTTGTGAAAGACTATATTTAACTTAGCATCTTGATATTACAACAATAAAAATTTATTAAAAGGCAATTGTAGCAATGAAAGAAGTAATTGTAAAAATGCATGAATTTTTTTAACTAGTATTGTTAACAATAAACACTGAAATAAAAAAACACACGCACACACAAATGGATGTCGCTTGATAACAATATTGAGGAATAAAGTTTAGTAGCGAATCAATCAAATATATTACACTTGCACATAAAATGCAAGCGTTAAAGAAAGTCCAGTGAAAATGTAAAAGTAGATCTACAGCCATTATGTTATTTTTAAATAGTCTGAATCTAGAGAGTTTGTCTCGACTGCGTAAGAATATTCTTCGAAATACAATAAAATACAATACTATTTCAAATAATATGATAACGTCGCGATATCATTATCTTTAATGTACACGAGGACAAGTCTTAGATAATAGATATTTTATTAAGTATAATCGCGCGAGTTGAGTTTGAGTTGTACAGTTGCCGTGTCCGTGGAATTCGTGGAGTCCGTGGGGTTAGATGCTTGTGAAGCTTCCCTCAAGTAGTCTCCCGCGGAGTAACTCGGTGGGGATCCTTGACGTATAAGACTCGCGTCCCTACTTCATACTACATCTATTCGTAATAGTAATCAGTTGGAAGTCGAAGACGAAGGAACGAAAGAAAACCGAGCAAAGTCATCGTCGCCTTACAATACGATGAATGTGACAGTGAAAATGATTGCATTATTTCAGTGATATTCAAAAGTGATATTGGAAAAGAAAGAAATTTGTCATGTACATTTCTGACGTTTGTTATTTCAGTAGACGTTTCTTTCTCTTATGTACTTGATTTTAAAATGTAATTACATTCGAGCACGTCGACAAAAATCCATTTTCCTATCGTAAAGTGATACAATTGAAATATTCGTGTATATTATATGGACAGTTCGACAATTTGTGTGAGTGTGTGTGTGTGTGTGTAGCTGTTTTAAGTGAATGTGCCATAAAATACGCTTAAAAATATTATGCTTAAAATATTTTGTCTTTATATAATTTTTCTTTGAACACATTTAAATTTCGTTTTTCATATATATATATATATATATATATATATATATATATAGCGCTTTCTTACTCATTAGTTTTTTCTTAGCCAATTAATATGTATGTGTTAAGTGCAGTTATTATTTAATTATTGATATATTATAAATAATGATATTAAAAAATTACTGAAAAAAATTGTGATTTCATCGTTTGGAAGACTGATTTATCTTCAGTTAAATATTCATCGAAAACTTAGAAAACTATATTTATGTGTGAACAAATGCAGATGCAAATGAGTGACGAGGGCAGAGATTTATTACTTTCTGCATGATAACATACACTTTATTAGATGAATCGCAAGATTATATCTTTAATATAATTATAATAAAAATAAAGGCAGAGATAAAGGCAAATATGCTTTATTTCTTTTAGTATACGCTTTTTACTTCTCTCTATCTTGTCCTGTAAGTTTTATGACTATTTGATATAAAACGCGGTATGTCAACCACTGCGTGTATAGGTGTGTATATATGTATACACATACATATATACATACATATAATATAGAACATTACACATCTTTTCTCATTGTCAAATAAACTTATTAACTAAAAGATTAATTTTTATATAAATATTTTTTATACATAAGTTAATAGTGAAGTTAATATGTGAATAGCAATAATCATTGTCAGTTGATAATGCTGTACTATATTTTTAATTATGAATAAATGTTTTATGTTTTGTCTTAATTACACAGATAGATTAAAGAAATGCAAAGCAACAATAAATTGCTATTTCTAAAATCTTTAAATAAATAGTGAATAATTTTTTTGACCGAGATTCAACTTTTATTTCGACAATTATTGAGTAGAATAAATAAAATAATAATAAAGATTTATTTATTTATTTAAAAAATAAAATTGTAGAAAAGCGTTTAAAAATTTTAGCTTATTTTTAACCAACATTTTGTTTCATAAAATATTTATTATACTAACAATAAATATAATTGCACTGTGATAGACATGAACTGTTACATTAAAGTATTGCAACATCGAGGTATATTGGACATGAGGTATGTCGTGAAGTCCAAGTTGCTGATTTACTAAAAATAATTTTCACTCGTTTTGCAGAGTACGCTGACACGCGCTTCCCCGTATTATTCCTGGCATGTCTGAATCACTAGCAGCTGGCTCGAGACGGAGCCAAAATAGTCAACTACTTTGGCCAGCTTCCTCCGAAATTACTGTGCTGACGAAGCACCAAGCGAAGGTGGATTTGGAATCAAAAACAGATATAGACCACAGAAAAGAATATCTTCTTGATGAATCAGCGTGTCCTTTTGTTCTCTTGAGAAGTACTGTCGTTCCATTTTCAAGGTCATTCAATATTTTCATCACAATCAAAACTGTTATATATGTGTCTTTTTTTCCATTTACAATGTCCATGAAATATCGCATTCGAGACGCCGAAAATATCAAGACGCAGTATGGTTTTTAAAAATTTCTCTTCATTAGTTCCAAGATAATTAGAAATAAAAATAGCATTTTTAAAAATATATTTGTTCAATTCGATTCTGAAATTCTTAAGGACTGGCCACAAGGGACCAATATTCAAAATATTGAAAAACATATATACATAAATATCATGTATATTTGTAACGAATATTTTAGCAAGATTTTAGCAACTTACATATAATATGCTCGAATATTTTCTATTTAAAGATCCTGAATGCATATCTATGTGCACGTGATGCATTTTGAAAGATATATAAATATAAACTGTACTATAAACTGTACTGTAAGCTTCTTAATTTTATTAAGTAATAATACAAAGTACATTGATAATAGATTATACGTTAACTTTAAATAGTTTCTGTAAGCAAGAACACGAACGACCTAAGCCATCGTGGTCGATAAATCTTTGCGGGGATCTGAGCCGGCAGCCAAATATAGCTAGGTAATGTAATACACATCACGTGCTCAAAAATAGACTAAGAAAAGGGCCTAGCCTGGTGTGCACACGGCACTGCAATTACTTTTCGCTTGGAATAAACTTTCGCATGTCTTCTGCACATTAGAAGTGGTCGATGTAAATTACTATATGTTATATATATTATTTTATATAAAAAAAGTATATATACAGTTGAGGGCTTACTTATTTGCGGACTTAGTTATTAAGATCATTTGAAAAACATTGTATTTATTACGCAAATATACTGATACACTAATCAAATCGCAATTATGCTTCTGTAATATTTGATGAAGAAAAAATTAGAAGAATTGGAAATTTTTGTTTTTACGCGAAATTTTTCTTTTGATATTTGCTTTTTTAGTAAAATTAAATACACGTTGTGTATTTTCTTTCTTGTGTGCAATACATCTCAGCGAGAGAGTTCAAGGAAAGAACATTCTATTAGAAAAACCTTTCGTTTTCCAATAATAGGTATATATTATGTATCATCTTTATTACAAAAGCATTGAATGTAACAATTTAGTTAGATGATTTACGCGGAATTTGTAAAAACATATTTTACTAATAATTATATAACTTTTACATATGTTTTATATTATATTGGACTAGAATCCACCATCGCCTCAAAGATTTTTCTATCGGGGATTACGTTAAAATTGTCGTTCACGACAAAGATTAACGACATATTAATAATTGAGACGATAGAGTTGTCAAAACGGCAACAAACGAGACTTGGACGTACTTAGAACATTTGGTTTTATTGCGACTTCCATTGTACAATAATAAATAATTGATTAGTAGGACGTTAGATGATATTTTTATGTATGTATATGTGTGCCATTATAAATTCCTGATAGATAAATATATATATACATATATATACATATATATACACATATATATATATATTTGTAAAGTGTAGGCGTACATATATAGTAAGAAAATTGTGTAATACGTGTATATAAATAGATTTTTTTTAATGATACGATTTATAATAAACATCAAGACTATACAGCGAACGAGAAAACGAGTTATTATTCAACGTAGTTGCACCGCTATTCTTCTTTTTTTTAATCCATGATATTAATTAACATATCGCGCAAAATTCCATTTTCGATACTATTACCTATTTACAAAGTTCGCAGAGTATTCTTTGTAAAAAGGCTACGAACATTATGTTGTTGAGATGCAAATGTAAATATGGCGGTGCAGGTGGAACAATGTTTCACTCTATCATTCGTCTACATTGATCTCAAAAAATAATCACACTTCGGTCCCGACCGATTGCATTACAAACAATTTGAATTCTCATTTTAATTTTGCAGCGCTTCAATTTCGGTATCATTCTTACAATCTTCACATATTTGAAATATCTTTAGATTTTTTTTTCGCGCAAAGTTTGTAGTTTTGTAATGCAAGGATCTGTTGTTATTAATTACTCCTCGTTTCACTCGCTCAGCTATTCTCAAAATATGACAAGTTAGTACAAACTCCCCGAGCGCGCACGATATTTTTTATTAGAGGAGATTTGTTTAAGATGGAAGTTGAGAAATCTAGCAAGAATAGGTCGGTATGTTATGTTTTTTTCAAGGAAGGCAACAATAAAGCACAAAAGTAAAAATACGAGTAAATATATAGCTAATCGCGCTGCGCGGAGACGACTGTACTTGAGATTTAATAACGATTTAAAGACGTTAGTCGCAATGAACACGTTAGACGGAAACTGGTGTATACATTAATAGAGCAATGGTCAATTGTGTATTGGAAAAACTCTTAAGTTCAATGATCACTCCACATCAACATCCATTTTATATCCATTTTGCTGTATCATATGACATACACTATTGAAAAGCAACTAATGTATACATTAGCTAATGGTCAATTGTGTATTGAAAAAATTCTTAAGTTCAATAATCATTTCACATCAACATTCATTTTATGTCCATTTTACTGTATTATACGCTATTGAAGAGCAACTAATTGTTCCAAAATCTCGAAAACCATAATAATCTATAATGTCTTCAAGAGTGTTCAATGTTATGCAAATATCGAAAGATAAAGAATTACATGATAATTGAAATTTAATCAATGTATAAGACACGTACAGACTTTAAAAGAGTTAATATTACCTTTTCTAAGATCTAACAGACTTATATTAATTCAATAACATTATTAACTTGTCAATGTTAATTAATTTATCATGCTACTGTCTCGAGTATACGTTCGTCTCCGGCAATTTTTGGAGAAGTATAATATAAGAACAATTGCGTGTCGTGTTAGCAATCGAATCTATATCTTTGATTCAGTTCTTACTTTTGACGATGAGTTTGGCGGACGTTTCTACGGTACCGGCTGAAGTTGTAGCGCGGCAAGTAAAGGTGCCTGTATCCTCCTCGTACGTGGTCGCTATCAGTAGCACCGCATTGTTGCCTTCATGAATCATCTGAAAATGATACGTCATGTCTTCCCTGAGCATCGTGTTTAAACGTGAAGTTTTGTTTGATGTTTTACGGGAGAGCAGTAGTGAATTATCTACCTGGAAATCTGGTGATTGTGGGATCAAGGCACCCTCTCGATACCATTGAATCGTTGGCTTAGGCTTTGCCGGACTCACTTGAGTTTTAAATTGAGCTGGTTGTCCTTCTATCACTATCTGATCTTTCAAAGGTGTCAATTTTGGCAGGACATCAGCTGTATCGGGCGCTAATTGAGAGTAAAGAAAAATAATTTTATGCATTAATTTTATGCGGTATAAAAATTTTTATTTATATTCTCCTTTCTGTTTGTCTTACCGAGAACTCGGAGATTGGCAGACGTCGTGACCTCACCAGCGGGATTTTTAGCAATGCACTTATAAACACCTTCGTCTTCGGGGAAGGCTTCAGAAATCCTCAGAGTACAGAAATCGCCTTCTTTTTGCATTTGAAAGTACTTGGATGGTTTGATGACCTATGCAAACATACACAATAAACATTTGCGAGTGAAATTATTAGAAAAACTCAATAGCATCGAAATTATTATCGTAGCCTTGGATACCTTATCAGCTTTCTTCCATTGTATAGTAGGAACAGGTTTTCCTGTGATCCTGCAGGCAAAAGCGACGGAAGTTCCTTCCTTAATGGTTTGATCCTTTAATGGTTCTAGAACAGTTGGCGCTTTTTCTGCTGTTGGTGTTGTAGGTTTTGCAACCTTTGTTGGTGATTGAGGTCCGCGAACAGTGCATTCTGCTTCACAACGTGCCTCTCCAGCACTGTTAATTGCAACACATTCGTACTTGCCACTATCTTCTGGTACTGTTTCCAGGATCAGAAGTGTATAGATATTGTCTTCTTCCAAAGTTTTGTAACGAATATCCGCTGTTATCTTTTTACCGTTCTATAATAAAAAAATGTTGAAATTTAAATCATTTCAAACTTCGTATATTATGCGCGTAAATTCACTTATCGAAAAACTTGTAATAAAAAAAAATTAACCCAGAAAAATGATAATACGCACACATCTTACAATTAAGTATTTTACCTTGAGCCAATAAACATCCAGAGGTTTGGTGCCGGTAATCTTAGCATCGAATCTGGCGAGTTGTCCAGTAGCAACAGAAGCAGATTGGATCGTGGTTAAGAAACTGGGTGGTACCGCACCGCCTCGTCCAGGCTGTCTTCTGCGTTCCTCTACCACTAAATTGGCACTACATTTGGCTTTTCCTCCTCTATTCTCAGCGATAACGGAAAAGACACCAGAATCTTCCATAAAAACTTGTCTGACAATTAACACCGATTTGGTACTGAAGGTATAAATTTGAAGGTCGGCTGAGTTTTGTATGGGAAAATCTTCGCGGTACCATTTAATAGTCGGTAGTGGATCACCATCGAATTCAACCTCAAATTTGGCCTGTTCTTGCTCAAACGCTCTACAAGGTTGAATCTTCTTCGTGAAAACGGGCGGTTTGGCAGGTTTGGCTTGACCTTGCACCACACGTTCTTGCGTCTTCGCTTTGTGTTCTACTTCTGTAGTCTCTGTCGCGGTGATTTTTCTTGTTATTTCTAAGTCACCCTTGACTTCCTTTTGTGTCTGTTTTTGTTTAGCAACATGAACTTCGCGACCATGAACTGTGGATTCAGACGGTCCCGGAGGATATTTTCCTGTGGCTTTAACGCGTTCCGTATCTATATCCACCTCGGTAACAAACGGCTTCTTTACATACTTCGGAGGTGGTTGTACTGGTTGTTCTTGTTCAGGTTGTTCCTCTCTAGTAATGAGAAATTGGCAATAAAGTAATTAGCAATAAATTACCACTATTTAAATATTCATTGGTAACATTATCGAATATTTATTTTTATTGATACTTACAAACTTTCTTCATACTTTTGGGCCATTCCTTTTGCTAAGGAATGTGCAACAACTTTGTCACCGGGAATAGCAAACTGATGTGAAGATTCCCTTAATCTAGACTCTTTGAGCATTTGTTCTTCTTCGAGATTCATCAGTTTATTGTAATAATCTTCATTTTTCTTGCTCTTGACGGATTTCTGCCAATCGGTCTCAGGCTCTTTAATAACTTTATGACCAAGGTGTTCTGTGGCAATTTCAATCCCTTGGGAAACGCTTTGATGACGTTCATCGAATACCCGCTCCAATTCTGTGTCTTGCCGCTCGGACTGATATTGTGTTAGCCCATAATCGTACCAAGCTAAAGAAACAATACATGATATTTGTGTGCCCTTATGCCTTTCGTATTACGCACGTAAAGAAGAACGCGTGCGGACATACTGATTGGTTCATATTGAGATAAACTCGATACAACTCGAATATAACTTCAGTGAGGTATTTTTGCAAGTATTAACGTTCCCATATATTTTTGCTTGAAAAGCAAAGGATTGTTCGCATTATAATTTATTATACAAGATCGAAATTAAAAACCTCATTGAAGCAACGTTGCGTTTCTCTTAGTCAAGAAACAAGTAAGTTTATCTAACTGGAAACCACGATACTTTAAGACACAATACGTGAACGACGATGCAACACATATCGACGACACCTAATTATAATAGATAATAGGAATCGAGCTGGAAGTGGAAAATTCGAATGGTTAATACATATCTGAAATTGTTTTGCTTTATCATTTTATCATTCGAAAACACTGTTAGACTAAATCGTTTGTTTCTTGCGAACGTGCTTTCCTTCGTGTTATGAGAAGGTTTTCCTTCAAATTTAAAAGAAACAAATCTGTTCAACTGCAAAGATTTTCTGTTTGATTAACTGAATAATTCTGTATAAGTCGTCGAACTTTGCTTCTTTTTCGACGAATTAATTTTAACATACAATTGCTCGCTACTTCCCGTGCGAGACATCAAAGGATAGGTAATACGGGAAACGCATAAGTATCTAAAAAAAGAAAAAGAAAAGGAAAAGGAAAACAAAAATACAAGAAAAACAACAAATTAAACACATGATAGGGATTAGGATGAAATCATATTGATTGCGCAATATTGAGAGATACGGAAATCTGCTCGACATTTGCACTTTCCAAAATCAATACCTGACATAAATTATTTCAATAATACGAAAGAGGGAAGTGTAATGCCTATAACGCAATGAATAAAAATAAATAATCAATATTTTAAATACATATTCAAAAGATATAAGTATAAATATGAGATACGTATCAGGTAAAATAAATAGAGATTAGATGAAACAACTTATGAGCAATAAACCCGTGTTCTCCAGCGCAACAATATTTAATTATATTTATGAAAAAAAACATTAATAAAATATAAAACAATATTAACGTTCTCTTCTGACGATTATATTATCCATACCTGAATATTGATGATTGAGAGATACGATACCTTTGATCTAAGACGATATCGCTCTAATATTCTCGCCGAAATTTCCAACCATGACGAAGAAGAAGGAGAAGCAGAAGAAGCTGTCGGATTTAAGGTGATTTTCGTGGCTTTGGAGTGCCAAATGTGGAGAGCGGGAAGGAAGGGATTATTTATGTTCGAATGGTCTAAAGTGTTTTCTGTATTCGAATAAAATGCATGTGTCGTATCGATATATATTATATGTATTATGTTTCGGTTGCTTGATACTTTCCAATCTACGCTCGCCTCTCGCGAATCGTTATTGGAAGTGTGCAACCGCTTTTTCACTTTCACGTGTGATATATCTGTATCGTTGTAACCCGTTCAAATTATTCACTGCGCGTGAATTCTTCGTATTTTCGTACTTTTCAAGAAGGTTACAAAAAGTTATTAATTATAGTTAAATTTACACTTTTCATATTCATATTTCTCTTTTATGTACAATCTTGTTGCTCTACAGTAAAAAGTATATTTTATTTCATTATGCGACGCGAAGAATTCATGGGCGTATACGTGTATAACAGTGAAGTGAGAAAACTTACGTCTTGGTGAATTTTTTAATACACCACGGTAGTCATCGCTTCGCTGCTTGACCGTTATAGTCGTTTCTGTACGTGCTTCGCCAACCGAGCTTCTTGCAATCACTTCCACTTTACCGTGATCGTATTGTCTGGTCTTTGGTATATCCAGATGATACATGCCGTCATATGTTAGTTTATAGCGGGATCCCTGCGAGAAAGCAAAGGACGTTATATTAAATATATATAATTACACGAATATATTTTTACGAGAAACACTGACATCATTTAACGTGTCAGAAATGGTATCGCATTTCGACACTTACATTAACTACCGTATGTCCATTGATTATCCACATAACTCGAGGTCTTGGATGTCCAGTGACTCGACAACAAAATCTAGACCAGTCACCTTCTTCAACCGTTACCGGTTCTGGTTTGCTCACGAAAATAGGCGCCGAGCGTACTTTTTCTTCTTCACCTTCCTCTTCAGGAACGCTATAAATAATTTTGTAAATAATATACGTTGCCATTTTGTATTCGATTCCACGACGATCTTTCGTCGTACATATATGTATAATACGGACAAATAAATCTCACACGGAAAGTGATCTTTTTTCTATATATACAGGGAATCACATGCGATACTTGGATCAGCCGGAAAAGTTAAATAGAACGAAGCAAACTGAATCGATATTTGCCGAAATTTTTCGTTTTACACGAGTAAAATTCAAAATAATATCTTACATTTGCCACGCTGCTTCCATTTCTCTGATCTTCTCGATGCTCTTCATACCTTTTGGAAGTTGGGACTCATAGATAATTCCTGGTTTTCCCGCAGTTTTGATTATAGCTCTAGTCTCGTCCATGCCATAAAGATTCGTAGCTCTACATAGATACTCGCCGCTATCCTCTGGATAGACCCAACCAAAGTTCATGGCTACATAGCCAAAATCATAAATAGGCGTAAATCGATTCTTATGGGGTAATGGTTTCCCGTTAAAGAACCATTCGACCTTCATATTTGGATCACCCACGGGCGCCAATTGGCATTCGAACTTGGTACTATTCATTTCAATAAGATCAGTCTGATCTTGAATCTGTGTGACGAAACGAGGTGGTTGCTTCTTATCCGCATCATATAGATCGTCTTCAGTTAAGTGAATTTCTGAAGTATATTTTTTAATCGTCGCTTCCATTTGCATCAAGGCCTCGGATTTTTTCATACCTTTTGGTACTTGATTTTGCAGAATAATGCTAGGTAATTCTGTGAAAGAAACATTTATTTGATGAGTTTACTCTGATACAGTCAATTTGAAGAATGTGAACATGGGTAAAAAATGTAATAACATACTCTTGCAAGATACAGCAGCTCGAGTGGTATCTTCTCCAAGGTCGTTGATGGCCTTACAAACGTATTCACCAGAATCCTCGGGATATACGTACAAGATATCCATCGACACGAATCCCATATCGTAAACCGATCTATATCTGTGCCCAGCAGGTATTAATTTACCATTTCTGTACCATTCGATGCGTAGATTCGGATCCTCTTTTGGCTCTACACGGCATTCAAATCTGACCGGTTCACCTTCGTCGATAGTCGTTGACTGGATTTGCGTGATGAAATGAGGTGGTTGTCGCGGTGCTTCTTCCACAGGAGCTTGAGAGACCGGTCCTCGCTCTAGTTCTTTTAACTTTTCGCCGCTCATTCCCATTGGCAATTGAGAATCAAAGTCTATCGTTTTCTTAGCTGCGAGAAGAGAGAGAGAAAGAGAGGACAGAAAAAAAGAGATTATTTTACATTATAACAGTAAATTAAAATGTAAAAGCGTATATTTTTAAGCCTGAAATGTTAAGACATAACTTACATTTGCAAGTAATAGTGGCCTTGGTAGTGGCAGAACCCCACTTGTTGGTAGCTCTGCAGACATATTCGCCACTGTCTCGTGCATATGTATACGACATATCCAATGATATAAATCCAAAATCATTAATTTGATGCACTCGCGAGCCTGTCGCGAAGGGCCGTCCATTGTGAAACCAATCGATACGCATAGTAGAATCACTCACAGGTTCGACTCTACAATCGAAGTGACTCGGTCCAGCCTCCTCGACTTCGATATCTTTAAGTTCGACAATAAATCTCGGTGGATTTGGCGTTTCTTCCTCCGCCAAGATTTCATCTTTCTTATATAAGGATTCTTCCAATTTCTGAATACTTTCTGTACCGGTTTTAAAATTACTCGGTAATTGAGGCTCCAGAATGATACCCTGACGTCCGCGAACTTGAAGCTTGCACGACACTGTGGCTTCGCCATGACGATTTGTGGCTTTACAGGTGTATAAGCCCGAATCGCGTTGATAACAATTTGCAACTTCTAAAATGACGAAGCCAAAGTCATGAATCGTCTTCACTCTGCTACCAGCGAGAAGAGGCTTGCCATTGTGAAACCATTCGACTCTCATGCTAGAATCGTTAATTGGCTGTAGCCGGCATTCAAAGTGAGCAAGAGAGTTTTCAGTCAAAGTTAAGTCGGAAGGAGTTGTGATAAACTCTGGCGGTCTACCAGTGTCATCCTCCGGACTGATCTGACCCGGAACAGCCCCAAGACCTTCCAATTCAGCGATTTTATCGATTGTACTCTCCATACCTTTGGGTAACTGAGATTCCAAAATAATACTACGTTTGCCTGTACACTTCATTGTGCACGTCGTCACCGCTTCACCATAATCATTTGACGCTCTACAACTATATTCGCCAGAGTCTTCAGGATAAATGGGAGAGATTTCTAAAATGACGAAACCAAAATCGCAAAAAGTGCGGAAGCGAGATCCTGTTCGCAATGGTTTACCATTCCAAAACCATTCGACCTGTATTAAAGAGAACAATATAATGTTTAACAAAACGCGTATATATCTACATGCAAATATATAATATACAATTTAAAATTTAAAGAAATTTTACCTTTAATTTTGGATCGTCTGTAGGAATTACTCGTGCCTCAAAATGTGCGCTCTCTCCCTCCCGTAAACCATCAATATTACTTAAAGGTACAGTGAACATAGGAGCTTTGCCACGTTCTTCTACAATCTTTTCGTCCTTTGTACGTATCATTGAGTCTTCGAGAGTTTGGATTTTTTCTAGACCGCCTTCCATGCCCTTCGGAAGTTGCGATTCCAAAACGAGATTAGCCTTGGAGAAGCATTTGAGCGTTGCTCTTGTAGAATCTTCGCCATACTTGTTAACGGCCCTGCATTCATAAACCCCGGAATTCTCTTCGTAACAATAGAGTATGTCCAGGATAACAATACCAAAGTCATGGAAGGTGCGATATCGATGGCCGTGAGGAAGTTTCTTGCCGTTGTAATACCACTCGACTTTCAAATCGGGATCGTTCACTGGGGTCAGTCTGGCCTCGAAATGTGCGGACTGCCCTTCTACCAGTTTCGTAATATCAGCGATCTGCGTAATAAACTTGGGTGGTTCAGCAACGGGAGTCGTAGGCGTAGTTGCTTGCTCTCCGGTATAACTTTCGAGCTCTCGAATTCTAGCGAGCGAGTCCGGCTGCAGAGAATCTAAGTAAACTCCGCTTTTGCCGAAGCATCTGATCGTGGCTTTTGTATAATCCTCGCCGTATTTATTGCTAGCTTTACAAACGTATTCTCCGGTGTCATGAGACATCACTCCGGCAATATCCATAACTACAAAGCCAAAGTCAGAGACCATTTTGAAACGTGACGAGTGTCTTAGAGGCTTTCCATTGTGGAACCACTCGACTTTCATGTGAGGATCACCCACTGGGATTAGAGTACACTCAAAGTGAGCCGATTGACCATCTTTTAAGCCTTCCAAGGATTGAATCTGCGTCGTAAATTTAGGTTTCTGTCCCTTGGACTTGTCGACGCATTCCAGTTGCACACTAATTTCTGCTTTACCCCATTTGTTAGTGGCCCTGCAAGTATAAGTGCCCGAATCTTCTATTTTGGTGCCGAGAACTTCGAGGACAACCATGCCGAAAGCGTAAACGGTTCTCGTGCGGTGACTAGCTTCTAAAGATTTACCATTGTAGAACCATTCAACCACCATAGTTTGATCACCAGTAGGGATGAGAGATGCTTCGAAGTGAGCGATCTCTCCTTCCGAGAGATTGGTTAAATTCTCGAATTGCGATGTAAACATCGGTGGTTGACCTTCTTCCTCTCCCAAGGGAACTCCTTCTTGCCGTTTCAAAGATTCCTCTAAATCTTGAATCGCTTCGAGACCTTCCTTGCCTTTGGGGTGCTGTGACTTTTCGATGACATTTTCCTTTGTGGAGCAATAAATAGTCGTTGAAGTGAAAGCTTCGCCTGCTTTGTTATAGGCCTTGCAAGTGTAAATACCAGAGTCACGCTCGTAAACGTCCGTCAAGTCCAAAGTGACAAATCCAAAATCGCTAGTCATTTTGAAGCGTGAACCATGTTCCAAAGGTTTCCCATTAAAGTACCAATCGATCTTCAAATTGGGATCATCCTTCGGCTCGACTTGTCCTTCGAGATGTAACGGTTCGGACTCTCCCAGTTTAAACTCGGGCCCGAGAGGCACCGTCCAGATCGGTTTAGGATACTCATGTTCAGGACCTTCTTCTGGTCTCTTGTATTTTGACAAATAAGCATCTTCGGCTTCTTTCACTTTCTCAAGTCCAACTTCTCCTTGTGGATGCTGCGTTTGAAGATAAATATTTTGCTTGCTGGTGCATTTTAAAGTACCAGATGTCTGTGCACTACCTTTCGAATTTGTGGCTTTAACGGTAATGACGCCAGAATCTTCTTCGTAAGCATGAGTCAAGTCCAGAGCTACGTAGCCGAAATCATAGGTACTCTTAAATCTAGCACCGGTCGGCAAGGGTTTACTGTTCAAGAACCATTCAATCTTCATAGTCGGATCTTTCGATGGTTCTACATTACATTCGAAATGAGCATTATCACCCTCGATACATTCCACGTTATTTAAATGAGTAATGAAAACTGGTTCTTCGTACGTAGGTTCTGGTTGCTCAAAAGAGGTAATCTGAGGCTGCTCCAAAGCATCGATTTTTGGCAAAGCGTCAGGATGTAAGGTATCTCCATATAACCAGTGACGATCGGCAATTTTCAGACTACAGGTCGACACGGCTTCTCCCAAAAGATTGGTTGCTTTGCATGTGTAAATCGCCGAATCGTCGGCTCTTAGCCCGTTGATGGACAATGTTACTAGACCAAAATCAAACGTACTACGAAGTCTCGTTCCAGTCTGGAGGGATATTCCATTCTTGAACCATTCCACTCTTAAATTGGGATCCGCCCGCGGCTCCACTTGAGCTTCCAAATAGACATTTTGACCCTCTGTCAGTTTGTCAAAGCTCTCGAGATGTTTAGTGAAAACCGGTGCTTGCTGCGGCGTTGTGTCGATAAACATTTCCGGCACTTTATTAAGTTCTGCTTCCTTCAATTGAATCTTTTGCCATGCGTCCGCTTGTATGCTGTCAGAATCGATAGCTGAACGGGCTTTTACTTTCAGGGAAATCGACGATATTGCCTCGCCTGCATGGTTAATCGCTTTGCAGGTATATACTCCGGAATCTTCGGGGATAACTTTTAGAATGTCTAACGTTACGTACCCGAAATCGTGACTTACGTGAAAACGTGAACCTAAATATCAATGCACAATGATTTTTAATTAATGTCCAATACCCGTGATACTAAATGTCACTTATCGAAGGAAAAACGCTATCTTACCCATTTTTAATTCGATTCCGTTCATATACCACTCAAATCTTAAACTTGGATCGCCGACAGGAACGACTCTGCATTCGTATCTAGCCATTTGTCCTTCCCAAAGTTCAGTTGGCCCAGTTAATAATTGCGTAAAAATTGGCTTATCAAACATCTTTTCCGGCTCCTCGGGTCGCCCAGTTTCCTTAGCTTCCAACTGAGCGATTCTACGTTGAGCCTCCGGATGTTGAGTATCTAACTGTATGCTCGCCTTAGCTGTATTAATGTAAATAATTTATTAAACAGATGAAATATCTCTCGTACTAATTGTAAGTCAATCTTATTGTAGCTTGATTAAATTTAATAGGTAAAATTATTTACTTTTGATCTTCATTGAAGCTGTGGTAACCGCTTCGCCCAATGGATTAGACGCACGACACATATAAACTCCTTTGTCTTCATCACGCACGTGAGCGATATCCAGAGACACATAGCCAAAGTCATGCACTTTTGTGATCCGTGAACCTAAGGAAATTGCAATTATATAAATAATTTTGCGTACGAATTATAATTATATCATGTAACATTTTGCATCTAATGATTCTTACTTGTCTCAAGGGGCACTTCGTTTCTGAACCATTCCACTTTGAGCATAGGATCACCCACGGGTATGAGTCTACATTCGAAATGTGCGGTGTGACCCTCGGCAATGCCATCGATATTTTGCAAAGGTTGAGTGAACACTGGCCGCTGCCGTGTTTGAGGCTCCGGAATATCCGGTCTCTTCCATGGCTGTTGGGCTTCGAGCTCTCGGATTTTGTCCATTCCCTCAGGCCGTTGGGAATCCAGAATAATGTTATCTCGTGGAATTACTTTAAGCTCGATAGATGATACGCATTGTCCCAACGCGTTAATCGCCCGTACAGAATATTGTCCTGCATCTTCGGGTACAGCATGGCCAATATCCAGAGCCACATATCCGAAATCGAAAGTCACATGGAAACGCGCTGCCGATGGTAATGGTTTACCATTGTGGAAGAATTCGATTCTTAGATTTGCGTCATGCAAAGGCTCTACTTGACACTCGAAGTGAGCTGTTTGCCCCTCATATACTTCGGTTGTACCCTAGAAAGAATTCTCGTGTTTCATTTTCTTTGCTTTACTTATTAAACTTTTTATATTTATTATATTCATATCTATTATAGTCAACTCATGTTATCGTTATGATTATTTACCCTAAGCTCAGTGATAAATCTTGGTGGTGAGACTGGCGGTTCCTCGATTTCTAATCGTGCCGGATGACCTTGGGCCTCTAATTCTCGAATCTTTTCTAGACCATCCGGATGTTGAGTATCCAAGAGAATACTTCGTCGTGCTGTGATAAAAGAAGAAACCATAAACTGTTTTCTTTTGTTTTTCTTGGTAACTATATTTTTATATATTATCAACTTTGTGCTTGCTTTTTTAAAATAAATCCGATTTTACAATCAATCTTGAGCTGAAGATAATCAAGTCAATGTATCTCGAAATGTCACGTTCATATGATTAACAATTCTATGAAGTATGATAATTTTATATCATCTGTAAAACAGAATTTGTTTGAGTTTGCAAGATTTACGAGTTTATAGATTTTTACCAAAATTCTTTTTTTTAATAAAACTTTTTCGTAAAAATATCATTGGTACCCGTTCGACAAGTGACGTTTCTCTTGTTGATAAATTTTGTCGTTGCTGACAAATGTTTTCAAGTTCTTCGCGAGTGGAAAATTAGACTTCGGATATTGTGCTCTTGCTGACAATTACGCAAAATAGTTAGTACAGAATTAACATGTACGAATTAACACGCAATGCGCTACCGATACTTACAGCCGACTTTGATAGTGCAAGTATTAACGGCTTCGCCAGCCAAGTTGGTTGCTTTACACATGTATGTACCGGAATCTTCAGGATAAGTATAAAGAATATCGAGAGCCACATAGCCAAAATCATGCGTTGTACGGAAACGATGACCAGTTTTAATAGCAACTCCATTGACAAACCTATTAAATTAAAGAAAATTCAATCGATTGAATTATACGGCATCATATCAATATCGTTATATTATTGTCATTTTTATTCTATTTCTTAGACATTTAAATTCTAGATGAATATTTCTTGGATTATAGATGCAACTACAATGTATCATCCATGTGTGTATTGAATATTAAATATTCACCATTCAATCTTTAAATTCGGGTCGTTAATCGGTTCCACACGACACTCCAGATGAGCATGCTCGCCTTCCTTGAGATGATCCAGATTGTTTAGCGGCGTTAAGAATACAGGTTTTTGATGAATAACCTCTTTTTCAATATCTTCTTTGACTTCGATAGTTTCCAATTCTCGAATCTTTTGTAAACGTTGTGCATCCAATGTATCGAGATATAAGCCTTGTTTCGCTATATAAATCAAAACAATTAATGAGTCATGTGTCTATACTTTTAGTAATTAAAAGCTTATAAAGTGAGAAATTATGTAATAGTTCGTTCACACTAAATTTTGGAAAGTAAACATATGAAAAATTCATCTCGCTTTATCTCGTGTTCTCTCGTTTGTTTCGAAAGTCCGCGATAAAAATATTATTTAATGGGTACTCGTTGATCAAGTTAGCAATCTAAACAGAGTGTAAAATATTACGTACAATCCACGCTGATCACGCAAGTAGTGACTGCTTCGCCAACAGCGTTTCTCGCTTTACACATATAAGTACCCGAATCTTCAGGATAGGCATAAAGAATATCGAGAGCAACGTATCCAAAATCGTAAGTGGTTTTAAATTTATGTCCTTGGGGAATAGGACGTCCATTCCTAAACCATTCAACGATCATCGTCGGATCATTCACGGGAGTCAACGTAGCTTCGAGATGGGCGCTTTTGCCTTCTGGGAGGTGTTCAATATTCTTCAATGGTCGTCCGAAAGCAGGCTTTTCGGCGATGACCGTATCTTCTTTGGTCACTCGTTTATATCTTGAATCATCTTCAAGATATTGTATCTTTTTCAATGCGCTCTCATGTTGGGTATCATGAATAATTGATGCTCGAGCTAAAAAGAGATTTTCATTTAAATTAATGCGAAGCGATATAAAAAAGAAAACATTTAAATTAATACGAAAAGGAGGTGAAATAAAATGTGTAAAATACGTGTATAAATTTAAGTTATAAACTTAAGAAACGAGTGATGTATGTACACCTGCGCACACGCAATAAAATCGAAGCTAATTTAAGCTACGTTGTCAAATGCGCTCTTATATTACTCACACTTCACATCAAGATTAATCGAGCTCTTTGCCGATCCCAATTTATTGGTGGCTTGGCAAGTATACGTGCCCGAATCCTCGGCATATACGGTCAATACATCCAACGATGCGAATCCAAAATCGCAGGTAGTTCTGTACCTGTGACCGGTGGACAACGGTTTGCCATTGTGAAACCATTCCACCTTCATGTTGGGATCAGGATAAGGTTCTATGCGACACTCATAATGTGCGCTTTGTCCTTCGACTAAACTGGTAGGTCCGTTTAGTTGAACCGTAAAAGATGGCTTGTCTTTTACCACAATCTCCTCCTCTTCACGCCGTTGATATTTCGAGGTATCCTCCAGGGCTTGAAGTTTCGACAAAGCGCTCTCATGTTGTGATTCAAACTGCAAGGCTGCCTTGGCTGCATTTTACAAGAATTTTTCACATAGCGCAGTAGTATAAATTATCAAAGGAAATCGTATACGTCATATATGTATAAATGAATTCCGTCAATGGATAAAGCACCAAAAAGTTTTTAGTAGGCTTGTAATATCTTTGTTGGGCAATATATGCAATACTTATTTGTAGTAACAAATAAGTTTAACAACGATGTAAGAATAAAAGTTCTTCAAACCAATCAAGTAAAAATAAAATGTAAGAATTTAATATCATAAATCAATATAGGATCTTAATCATTTTTGCTTAATGATGTAATTATAGCGAAAGTTAATAATGTTAATTAATTATATTAATCGGAACAGTTTATCAAATTTATTAAAAAATTAGTATTATTGATTATGTTTGCAAACTGTGTGAAATATATAATTGTATATACCTGACTTGTACATTAAATTAACGATGTACTTACATTGAACAAATAATGTTGCTGAAGTAACTGCTTCTCCAAGTTCGTTTATAGCACGACATGTATAAGTACCTGAATCTTCGGGATTGACGTACTTCATGTTCAAGGCGACGTATCCAAAATCGTGCATGGTCGTTACGCGATTTGCTTTAAAAAAATTTTTAATGATAAAGAATATTTTTTTGAAAGAATAATTTTAATGTGTAAGATAATATCTTGGTATATAAATTTGCAAGATGTTAAGCTTACAGGCTAAAATAGGAACTCCATTACGTAACCATTCCACCTTTAGTTTGGGATCACCAACTGGAATAACACGTGCTTCAAAATGTGCTGCTTGATTTTCAGCAACACGGAGATCTTTTATTGGCATCGTAAAGACTGGAGCTTGCGTAACGATTTCTTCGGTTGTAGTTTTACGTTGATAACGAGACGTGTCCTCCAACGAACGAAGACGTTGAAGAGTTTCTTCACTTTGAGTCTCCGTGTAGATAGATTTTTTAGCTGTTGGTAAAAAAATAATGAATTAATACTATTGACATTGGAAGAAATTTTCGAACAAATCTTATAGTAACGAAAAGCTTACAGTGAACGATAGCAGTTGCAGAAGTGATAGCTTCACCAATAATATTTTTAGCTCTGCAAGTATATGTTCCAGAGTCTTCAGGGTACGCGTACATGATATCGAGAGCGACGAAACCAAAGCTGTTTGTTTCGACGAATCTTGAGCCTGCTTTTACTGGTTTATTATTATGGAACCATTCGATTTTCATTGTTGCATCGGATACCGGAATTAGTCTGCATTCAAAATGAGCTCGCTGGCCCTCTTTTATTTCGACATTATTTAACGAAGTTGTGAAAATAGGCGCTTGAGTGGTAGTTTCTTCAATGACTTCTTGTCTATGATATTTGGATTTATCCTCAAGATAGTGAATCTGTTCGAGTCCAAGCTCGTTTTGCGTGTCCGTTAGTATTTGTGCGCTTAAGCGACACGTTAAACTACAGAGTACCTCATCACTTCCTACCAGATTAACAGCACGACAAGTATATGTTCCAGAATCTTCGGCAATCAAATCAATTACATCCAATGCAACGTAGCCAAAATCATGAATTGGACGGAAGCGATGTCCTGCAAATTTATTTGCCCAAGATTTAATATAATTTAACATATATGAACTAAATATTTTAACAAATTTGGAAAAAGAAAGAAATGTATGTAGTTAGATGATAATGTACATTTATATGTGTGTGTATACAGTTGTGTCACTATTGTGAAGACGAAATAACAATAAGACTGAGACGAATTACCTATCGTTACTGGACGACCATTCTTAAACCACTCGACTTTTAGGTTCGGATCCGTTACCGGTTCCAGTTTGCACTCGAAATGAGCATGTTGTCCTTCTCGAAGATTTTCTTGGTTTTTCGGTTTCGTAATAAATTTCGGCTTTACATTGACAACTTCATCCACTAGTTCATGCCTTTTGTATCGCGAAGCATCCTCCAAGTACTGTATTCTTTCCAATCCTTCAGGATGTTGAGACTCTAAAAGTAAGTCCTTCTTGGCGTGTACTCTTACGGAGCACGAAGTAACCGCTTCGCCGAGCTGATTTCTAGCTTGACAAGTATATACACCAGAATCTTCAGGATAAACGCCAAGAATGTCTAGAGCCACATAATCAAATTCGTAAGATGGTCTGAATCGATGACCAGTTTTGACCGGTCGACCATTGACGAACCAATCGACTTTCATGGTCGCATCACCAATTGGCTGAAGACGACACTCGAGATGGACATTGGTTAGTTCTACGGTTTCAATATTGTGTAGAGGTCGAGTGAACTGAGGTGCTTGCATCACAGTGACTTCTTCTTGTTGAACTTTGCGATACCTGTGCAATAAAATAGTATAAAATAAGACAATGATTGTAAAAAGATGTGGTTTTACAAGGCGATAAATAAAGCAAACCTTGACGAGTCTTCCAACATTTGTATTTGCTCAAGCGATTGTTCATTTTGCGTATCAGTGACAATATCAGATCTTCCAATAACTCTGACGCAAGCAGAAGTATGCGCGGTACCCAGGTGATTAGTAGCTCTGACTGTATATTCACCAGAATCGTAAACGGTAGCGTGTACTATATCGAGTGCGACGAATCCAAAATCATAGTAAGTTCTAAATCTAGAACCGACTGTGACCGGACGTCCGTTTTGGAACCATTCAACTCTCATCGTAGGATCGCCCATCGGTTCTAGACGACACTCCAAGTGAATATTTTTCCCCTCGCTAACTGGCTTAGGATCGCTCAATGGCTGAATAAAAATTGGTTTTGATTTGGATATCTCTTCGATATGATATTGCGGCTCGATAAACTTGGATTCTTCTAAACGTTGAGTCTTCTCGTAAGTGCCGCGATGCATACTACTGGTATCTACGCCGGAACGCGCTGAAGTGAAGAATCAATAAAGCTCATTAATTGTCTATTCTCTGTAAATTTCTTTAATAATGCATAGATAAAATTATACATCTTACTCTCTACAGTCATGGTGGCGGATAAACGAGCTTCTCCACTGGCATTTCTAGCCACGACGGTATATGTGCCAGTGTCTTCGGAGCGAACCTGAAGGATATCAATAGAAACGTATCCGAAATCGTGGTACATCTGGATTCTATTGGCAGCAGTAATGGGTTTGCCATTGTGGTACCACTCGATCTTCATACTCAGATCACTTTGAGGTTCGACGCGTGCTTCAAAGTGTGCCCGTTGACCTTCTACAATTTTATTAGTACCTTTAAGATTACCCAGGAATCGCGGTGCCTGTGTAATCTGCGTTTCTTCCTGAACCTGTCGTAAGTATCTACTCGAATCTTCTAGAGACTGAATTTTTTGGAGACCAGCAGGATGTTGGCTGTCATAAATAATATCATTCTTGCTGATCACACTTAACTGAGCGGTAGTGTGAGCTTCACCAGCTCTATTGTAGGCTCGGCAAGTGTATATACCAACGTCATGTATCGTTACATATTTGATGGTCAATGCCACATAACCGAAATTGAAGAAGGTTGTAATCCGAGAACCTAATCCCGAAAAATTTTCGTCAATATACAGATGTATGATACATATGTATACATTTACATAAGGAGAATTATGTAGTACTACTCACTAGCTTCTACAGGTCGTCCATCTTTCAACCACTCGACACGGAGATTGGCATCACCAATTGGTTCGAGACGTGCCTCAAAATGGGCAAATCCGCCTTCTCTGATGCCGCTCTGATCCTTAATAGGCGATTTAAATTCCGGTGGGCTACTTAGTTCAGGCTGCTCCTGCACATACTTTTGGTGCATGGCCTGTTGATACGCTTCCAATTCCTCAGCAGCCTCTATGTACCTCAGTTGTTCGGGAATACCCAAGTCTGTTGTAACACTTGTTCGCGCTACACAATAATTAAAAGATCAATGTTTGAGAATGGAGGAAAAAAAAGCTGTTTGAAAATAATCCGTGATGGAGAGAGGGAGAGATTATTCTCACTAAGAATAAGACTCACCAAAAACACGAAGAGTCGCGGAGCTGATGGCCTCTCCCAAGCGGTTCACAGCTCTGACGGTGTAAGAACCTGCATCTTCAGCCCGTAGGTGCATTATGTTGAGTGAGACGTATCCGAAGTTGAAGATGCTAGTGATTCTTGAGCCTAGTGAACAATAATTTAACATTAGTCGTCTCTTGCATTAATTTTTTAAACAATAAAAATTGCCCCTTCCAGATATCAATACTCACTGGCTGTGATTGGTTTTCCATCTTTGTACCACTCCACTTTCATGGTGGGATCGCTAACAGGCGTCAATTGCGCCTCGAAATGGGCGTTACGACCTTCCTGTAGCTCACCAAGATCCTGGAGCGGGCGGATGAAAACCGGTCGCTGAGAAGAAGTCTCTTCTATACTCTCCTGTCTTTGATACTTGCTGTAATCCTCAAGCTGGTGTATGTACTGGAGGCTGTCGGGGTGTTGGCTTGCTTGCTCAATTGTAGCACGTGCTGAAAAAAAAGTTGATAGTTGTAAAGAATACGGTATAGATAATTATTTCTCGAGACAAACCTATAAAGTATTCTCTTTACTTACGGGTTACGCTGAGGGTGGCTCGAGATTCAGCAACTCCCGTTGAGCTTACAACGCGGCACAAGTACTCGCCGCTATCTTGAAGAACGATGCTAATGAGATCGAGTGAGATAAAACCAAAGCGAAAAACGGAAGTTGCTCGGGAACCTATGAAAGAGATGTATACGCCATGCAAACTGACTCGGTAATGTATGGTCGTTGTAAAAATAAAATATAAAAATTTATTACTTACTCGCATCGAGTGCTCTGCCATTGACATACCACTCCACCCTCATAGTAGGGTCACCCACCGGTTCGATTCTGGCCTCGAAGTGAATTCGTCCACCTTCGATTTGATGAACGTCCTTTAGCGGTATAATGAAACATGGTGGGGGATAAACTTTGTCTTCTTCAGCGGGCGGCAAGTAAGGTTTTGCACGTTCCACATGTCTCAAGTAAATCACTTCGGGGCCAGGCGCTGGTCTACAGACATATATTATATTATTACATTTTTTGCTAGAGAGTATGGAAGTGGAGCTGTTTGATAAAGTTCTGATTTGATGTTGCGTCTGCACATTAATGAGGATATAAAATAAGACTTAGGAAAGTCTCTCACTCTGGTTCGATAATTTTCGTTGGTCGGGGTAAATTCAGGCGTCTTGGTTCCGGGGTCGTTCCTTTTGGCGTCTCAACAAAGAGCCGTGCTCGAGTTGCGGTAGAGCCGGCTACATTTTGAGCTGTACACTGGTACCAGGCTGCATCCGAGAACTTGGCGCACGGGATGTCCAAAGTCGAAGCTCCGCTACCATCGCTCGATATACGTATTTCAGGACCAGGCGTTATCGGTACGCCATCCTGTGAAAGTTTTTGGTGTCAGAGAAATCGTAATTATACAGCCGATAAAATTCGAAGAAATTACTTTTTGCCACGTGATACGTGGAATGGGTGTGCCAACTGCGCGTGCCATAAAGACCACGGGTTCTCCCTCCTTTACGCCTGTTGTAACAAAACGTTCGACAAATTTCGGTGCAACTACTTGTTCCTTTTCAATAACGCTTAAGTTGCATTGACAAGAAGTCTCGCCAGCTTTATTTCGAGCAACGCATGTTACTATGCCAGCGTCGGCGCGATTCACGTTTGTGATCATCAACGAATTGCTACCAGATTCATTCACAAGAATTTTGTGAGTCATGTCATTGGCGACTTGTTGGCCGTTTATATACCAAGTAACTTCGGGATATGGACGTCCAGTTACGCGACAATCGAATCTGAAATATATTATGTATTGTAGTGTTACAAACGCTACTCTCATTGAAAACGGTGTCTAACCATAAGAGTGAAAGGAAAGCTAAAGAGATACTTAAATAATGGAAAAGCATAATACCGTGTCATTTTGCCTTCGGTAGCTTCCTTGTCTGTGATGGTACGAACAAAATTCGGTGGAAGAACCTTGCTAGAGTCAGTAGATTCAATGGTCGAATCCTCTTGTTGAGTCTTGATAAATTCCCTTTGATGCGCTTGATACGGAACTTGATCTACTTGATCGCTGGACTCAATTGCGAGATAAGCAGAACTAACGGTACAACCTTGAGGATTCTCAGACAATAGTGTATAATGACCGCTGTCTTCCGGCAAAGCGACTCGGATTCGTAAAGTAGCTTGCTGATTTGAATAGCTTGTCTCCACACGTTGAGAATCTCGAATTCTTTGGCCATTTTTGAACCATGTTAACTGCAACAACGAGAATACGAGTTAGCGATGTTAAAATAATGAAGAATATATTAGATATTTTACCATTGAATGTCTCTTTAATGAAGATGATATAGAAATACGACTTAAAGACAAAAGTAATTATTGTATATTGTAGCATTGAAGAAAATTTGTCATAAAGTTCTAATACTGTCTTTAATATTTCAAGTTGTCAAGCGTGACTTGAACTCACTCTTGGCTTCGGATTGCCAGTTATCTTTGCGGTGAAGACAGCGTCCGATCCTTCAACGAGCTTCGAGTTTCTAGGTTTCTGAGTGATTTGCGGAGGTGCAATCGGTCCCAACATACGATCTACTGTCGTAGAAATTTGCACGTCAGATTCACCCGCGAAACGGCGAGTAATTGATTCACGGAACTCCAATTCGCGCAACAATCTGTATTCAAAGGTATCAACCTGTGCATTTGAAAAATAAAGAATATTACTTTGAACGTTCTTATAAAGCTGTTCAATCGAAGCAAAACGAATTTCAAGTTTATTTAGCCGTAATACCTTAAAATCTTCAATGCTTGTAGTTGTACCGTTAACGTAACTTCGTTTATCGGTCGTTTGCTGATAACTACGTTGTTGGAAGACTTGACTTCCAGTTTGCATTTTCTGTTCGCTCGTCTGAAAGCTTTGCGTAAATTCTTTCTTGTAACTATCCGTTAGTTGTTGCGCTGGAGGACCAAATCCCTCTGGCTGTATGTAAACTGAGCAAATAGCTTCGCCTGAAAAGTGAAAGGAACATAGCTTTTTCCATTTATTTGTTCTAACGTTAATCTCAAAAGTGGAATGTTTAAAAAATATATATTCTAAAGAGAAACTGCCCTTGTAGAAAAAATCCTTACCATATTGATTCTTTGCACTGCACGTATACTCGCCCTCGTCCCCCGGACCGATCTGATTAATTTGGAGTATGACTATTCCAGAATTTTCATCATAAGACATTCGGATCTTTCGTGATTCTAGCAATGGCACTCCTTTGTGTGTCCAAGACACTGACGGTCTCGGATTACCGCGAACACACCCTTCAAAAATCGCGTTGCCGCCCTGCGCAAACCTCGCATTTTTGAAGATCCGCTCGAAAATCGGCGGTGAGGGATCCCCGGGTTTACCCATAAATCTGCCAGTAATTTAACGAGAGAGATCGCGTTAAAAATATTAATAACAGTTACGGATCTCTTACAGTTGCAAAGAGAGCTATAATTAGGAAATGTCGTAATACTCACGCTGGTACCGTTGGCGTCGTTTGCATAACGATCTCCCCTTGAACTGCAGAAATAAAAAATAAGTTAATTTACTTCTACATTATTAAAAGCAAATAATATTAAATACTATATACAAATTAATCTATTTCATCCGGAATTAAATTCAATTTCCCCTTCCCAGTAGAAGACCGGGATCATAAACTTTCATATATTTTTACAATGGTCGGTTCACAGGCTAACAAGTAAATTGATTTAAATTATGATGCGTCCCGGTGTAGACATAATTTCATGAAAAAATGCGGCATCGTCATTGCGCGTAACGGCGACAGGAAAGAAACAGCTCGTCAACGGTTCGTTTCCTTAGTTCGTTCTACCCTAATTGGAAAGTACGACAGAAGTTACACGAAGAAGCATGTACGCGCATGGTGATTTAAATACTTCGTTTTGCTCGATAAATGATGAAGTAATTAGCGACGAAAGAAGATATCTTTTCAGCTACAGATAATGGAAAGTGTAAAAGAATCGAATTAAATATTGCAATATAAAAAAGATAAGGATATCGATTGAAACTTTTAAAAGTGTTGGCAGATTTCTCTAAAAATTGTTTGCATTTCAGAAGTGAGATTCAATAATTCTGTGTGTGTGTTATTTTGTGTTGTGTGTGTGTATGTGTGTGTGTGCAAGAGAAAGGCTATTTTAATTATCAACTACTTCAATTGAAATATTACATTCATATTTTTCATATATTTAAATGTGGGACGTGGCATGCATAGGCAGTTCCTTTAATTTATATTATTTAATCAATTTATTAGGTCAGTGACTTAACTATTTAATTATAAAAATAATAATTTTTCTCATTGTATGTTACACGCGATTAAGTATCGTTTGTTTCACGATTTGCGAGCGTCCCACGAAGGGGGCGAAGAACGTAATGTGCTGCTACAAGCAGGGGATTGTATTTTTGCATTTGGATGGGGATCACGTTACCGTGAGCCATTTTAGGCGCAACTATCTTTGCTCGGCGCTGCGCGCCGCGACGAGTCGCGACGCGATGCGTCTACGCTGTGCCTGGACCAATCGCGTCTTTCGTTACGCAAAAGCAGTCACTGACCAAAATAAAACCGGGTCTAACATTTCTCTTCTTCTCATATCTACGTACATTTCGCGCAAGATTTGCATATTTTATGTTCATATATTAAATTCTGTAACTGAAAACATTATCTTGCCCTTTGCTTTGTTATTTTTCCTTTCTTTACCTATTTTCTACCACTCTTTTGTCATTCTTCTTTTTGATCAATCGTCGATCTTGACTGGTCATGTAGCATGTGCCACAATCAGCTGTTTCAATTTCTAAAGCATTTAAGTAAAATTTATGATGACTATTATGGAGCAATTAGCTGACTTTTATAGAAACTGTATATAATAAAATTAATATGTGTGTAAAAACAAATTAATACATAATGATATTTATTACATTTAATGTTAGGGTTTATATAACGCTATAGATATGGTTATACAAGTTTTTTTACTTAAAATTTTAAGCAATAATTACTTCTTACATAACGATATTATTCGCAAATACATCTAATGAGAGTTTTTGATGTAAATATTTAATTCTTCTTTACCTACGTAAAAGATAGCTTAACGCTAACTACTACCGTAACGGAGTTGCTTACTGTACTTCATTGTCTTTTAGTTTTACGCACGTTGAAATATAATACAGCACGTTTCGATGCACATCGATGTAAGTAAGATTCATAAACCTGTCAGTGTTATTTGGCAGCCGTAGCACTTTCTGACACGTCCATATACTTCATTTCTTTAACGTATAACGCAGTTGGCAAACGCGCTTTAGCGAACCTATTTTTGATAATGAAAGTTTAATTCCAACTATTATTCAATATATCAAAAAATTTGCACGATATAATAGATATTGAATCGTAACACGCAGAATATTAATGAGCAAACACGCCGTTCCCTAGATTTCTATAAGAGCCCAAAATTAAAATTCTCTATAACAAAATAAAATTACACTTAATTTGCATAGAATTTCAATAAATTAAATAAACATTAAATAAACAAGATACATATAATACATTTTTTAAGTAAATTTTGCAACTAGATTAAAAAATTTCTCAACATCATGTACATTTAACATAACAGCTGTTTTCTTTGAAATGACAAATTTTCTATTCGTTGGAATTAAAATTTTTTAATGTAAATTGTTAATAGGGAGAAAACTGTTCAAACTATTTCAAATGTACACATTCTCTTGATACTATACGTAACACGATGCCATATTCCTCAGACAGCATGTAAAAAAATTTTTGAAACGATCATGTCGTGAGTGTGGAAAACTATCTTTAGAGCTCTCGCACGGACGGTGCTCCTTGCACAGAAATAGAATACGAGTATTCGTTGACGGGATACCCACCAGAAGAGATATATTAAAACTACTAGATTGAATTTATTCTCGCTCTTTTTTCGGTAGAAAAATTAAAAGAAGTAAGTATCGTGAAAATATATGTTAATTATCTTTCACTAGCACTCGTAATATTTAAAAATTACATTGTATAATGTAATTATATACATTTATTAATATGCAGTAAACGTTGATTGCGCAAAGATAAATTTCCTGTGTCGTTCTTCTTGCTTGCATTCTTCATACTCGAGGCAATTGTTCAAGAATATAATTTCTTGACTTTTCAAACATTATCATAACTGACCTCTCTGCTGACTGGTGATCTGTTGTCGCGTGACTTGTCTCTCCGTCCTTTGCTGGGTATACTGTTGCTGTTGTTCTTGCATAATAGCTTGTTGCTGCAGTTGTTGCTTTTGCTGTTCTTGAGACTGTTGTCGCTTCATCTTGGATCGTGAAATTCAGTAGTCAAGTCGTGAGTCGTTCGGATGACAAAATTAATTGTATAGTAGTAGTAATAAACTGCTAATATTAATCTAGAGAATCTAGAGAGATCCCCGTTTTATCTTCCTTTCTTTCACCGTCGTGTTTTGTCACCCGAGATTTAACAAACAAACTCTTGATGCACAACGACGAATTGGAGCAAATCACTTGCACTTATACCGCTTTACTCCGCAATACACGCAGTTTTGCTGGTAACCGCGGTTCAGTTCAGTCAGTCGGCAGAAATCAAGTCATCGTCAAAAGTCTTGTCCCCGTGATTCTTTAAACCAAGACGTCGGTCGAATGCGAATTGGACGGGTTACGACTTGACGCTTGGCTAAAGCATAAGAAGACGGGGAGGGTGTCGTATAGTCAGGGTGGGGACATTTGAACGCCCCGACGCTCGACGCGTGCGGAAGTTGCTTCAAGGAGGAACAAGAGGAATATAGGGGAATAGGCGAGTCAGCTGGACGTATGTAAAAACATTTCTACACTTTTCTGCTTCATAACTTATGCAAATAAAGACTGGAGTGGGATCAGAGGTATATTCGGTGCATAATATAAAATACAGTAAGGATGCTGTGCCATAGAATTTGATTTTTTTTTCTTATTCCATAAATTGCACATTCTGTTCTTCATTGTTTTAATAAGCACATGTTGAAGTTCAAGGCTTTGCCTGATATAGATATATTTTATAGATGATTAGCTCATAACATATCTTGCGTCGAGTCGAACGGTAAAACAGTGGTAAAGTCTCACGCAGCGTTCTTGCGCTCTCTGACAGCCACCCACGCATCTTTATTGCCTTCTCCGTACTCACATTCATAAAGTTAAGCACTCTAGACTCTCAAGCTTATGAATGTTCGTGATAAATATATTCTTCCTTCTTTTCATGCTTCACGCTTTTCTTATTTCTTTACGCTTCTTTATCGAATATACAACAATCTCTAGTTTCTTTTTCTTATTATTATTATTATTATTATATATTTATAATGTACATGTTGTACGAGCGTGTGTGTTCTAGGATTGACGTAATTTGGCCATTTTCTCTCTTTCTCTTTATTTACTTTTCGTCCCGGTCTATTCGGTTTATTCTCTTTTTCTTAGTGGAATTTGGCGGTAGAAAACATTCTTGTTGTATGTGCATAGCTTCAGCCAAGTTTAGCCACGCGAGCAGCCCCTGATCGCAACTTCGAGAGCGTACCGCCTGCGCACTGCGCTTGTGAATTCGAACTGCTTAGCAGTTACATACCACATTCTAAAAACATGTGCACGCACATCAGTGTAGCTGCCAACGTGGGGGACCGTCTTGTAACACCTCGAATTCTGTCCTTAAGAGTTCACAAAAGAGTTTGAATATCATTCGGAAAACTTTCTGGATCTTGAAAACAATCTTCGTACCCTAAAGCTATTTCATACACTCGTGCTATAAATAATTGTAGACTTCTATTTTTAAGCATTGAAAATAATTTTATCTAACCATTAACATCGATTGTGAATCGGAGCAAAACATGCACCGATGATGTTACTTGTATGCTGTCCGGTACTCTCGAGCAATTTATTGCATTAGTGATGCGTAGCTTTAAGCGTAACGTATACTTTTAGTCTCAATTAATCTACATCAGTTATTCTCAACGCGCTTTATGTATTTATTGTCAGAATCAATAAAAAGCGAACGTTAATGGTTACGATGCACGCAAGGAAGGAAGTGCCATTCCGCACTTTCGCGCCAAGAACATCGGTATAATCGTGAAGAAGGTGGGTCACGCATGAATCATCGCGTTTCGTCCAAGATGCCGCATAGCGACGCATCTATTTTAAGATTTTGTGAAATAATCTCGGTGGAGATGCGAGAGAATCTTTGCACATTGGATCATCTTATGATTTAATTATACCAAAGACGAAAGTACCATACATTCTACTAACAATAAGAGCTTTGAGGGCTTATATATAATACATATATCATCTATTATCATGTTCTGTTTTAAGGCAATGAACAGTCGTCAACATTTCTTTAAATTGAAATAATCTATACATATTTATATACATATATGTACATATATATATTGTATTTAAATTATTAACATTATTTTACTAGATATGCATATTCTTTCATTAAATACTCACCATTTTTCGCGTTACGTACTGGATCACAACTGTGCAAAGAGGGTTTCGTATCCAAACATGAATTACCGATGTTAGTTCCAGTCTTCGTGTAAATTGTATTTAATTCACGCCCGATACAATTTGTTACTTGCATTGCAGCAAACTCTCTTCCCGTGTTTTTGCAATTGTTTCCTTCTATGAAACTGTCATATCATATAATTTGATGATAGTTTGATAATAAATAAAACTTAGTGAATTATATTAAATGATGAATGCAACTACCTGTAATCTGCGCTCAATCCGAGATCATAAAAAGATTCATACGATTGCTCGCGATTTATCAAAGTGGGTTTAATATATTTGTCTTGCGATAAGAATAGGTCTTTTAAAGCTACGTATTTTGGTAACGCCTGTGGAACCTGTTCGAGCGTACATTTCTTTTGATCGTGATAAATTCTGCGTATGGATGATGGTGCGCCTGTAATTAAATAGCAATACTGTTTGGAAGGTGTAACATAATCATTCAAATTCTTATTATTTGGTTGAGTGGAGAAAACGGATTAATATTCTCTCTACAAATAAGGTCGCTTGTTTTTCTTCCGTATATTTTTGGATTGCCGACTCACATTTTCCTCCACATTCCACAAGATTACTTTACCATCTATTTTCATACCAGATCATCTCTGTTTTTCATGTAAGAAATGAATCTCGAATTTTATAATAGATATAACAAGAGAGAAACAAAACTTTATCGTTAGTTGTCTAGAGTTTTAATAAAAAATAATTTTTCTTTTTAACCATAAGTGTTTCAAGTCATATAAAAATATTGTTAAATATAAAATTAATAAACTTAACAATGTATAGTTTAAATATAAGGAAATTTTATGAACCTTTTTTTACAGAATTTGTATTTAAATATAATCGAAAAATAATACACGTTAGAGAATTACATATTTAACTACCAACATATAAAAGAGTATTTCTTTGAAAAAGCAAGACATTTTTTTCACGATTTCTGTCATTAATGCTGCAATTAATTAAAAATCGATTAAACGTTTATACAAATTTTTATCAAATTTTTCGTATTTGTGAAAAATAATTTGTAAAAAATAATAACATAAAAATATGTATATATAAATGTTTATACATTTTGACACTGTTTACTTTATAAATAATCAGAGGTTTACTTTAGATTTCTGTACAGTATCAATGCTGGCACATCACAAACCCCATTTGTAAACGCTAAAAAGAAGACAATCACAAAGGCAGAGTAAAGAGGGAGGAATGTAGGCAAGAATGTGAAATAATTTATTAAACCACTTACCCAAGTATAGATTATAGAGAAAGCATACATTTATTTATATACATAATATATAAGTATCATTGTGACTTCATGTTGAACAGCGAGATTAATAAATAAGAGTTAACCCCTTGCGATATGTGTGAGAAAACATATTAAAATATCTCAGCTTTAAATTGTCCTCTGTTATCTATTAAATATTGAGAAGTAATCGTTTACATAACTTACAAAAAACATTGAGCTTTCATGATATTGTTCAAGAAATGCTATTTTTAGCGATTGTATTTTTTCAATTGTACATAGTAAATGCGTAAATTATCTCTGCCAACTATCAACGCAAGGAGCTAATAGCATAGCGACTTATAGCATAGCCGTACATACCCCGTAATAGAGCCCGTATTCCGTCTAGCTATAAAATAACTTTTCTGTTTAAGCGAGAACAAGTAACATAGAAACTTGAAAAAACTACAAAATAAGAAGCCGCATCTAGAACGATCGAGTATCCTTATTGCACTTATTTACCTTTTCATAATAAATAACTCTCTTATTGTAATATTTTCAGATAGTTTGACTAGTTTCAACGATGCACACATGATGCATAAATAGAGTAATTAAAATGATATTAATCGTTAGATTGAAATAAGAAGTTGCTTTTATTTTCTATTTTATGAAATGTTTTATTTTCAATTGTCATCTTCGGCAAGGCTAATTTGGAGAAAAAAATTTGTAATTCTAATCAATAAGTGTTAGGAATAAATATAATTAGTACACTTAAAGATAAATCGAAAATACAATATTTTAGAAAATATAACATTTAGAAAGTATAATGTTTAAAAGAATAATATTAAAAATTCACAATATTTAAAACAGATGAGATGTTAAACAGAAAACAAATAAAGTATACAAAAAATTTGTATTAATTTATCCAATGGCACAACTAAAGTATTTTATATGTCGTTTGATGAAAAAGTCTTTGCGTTTCTTATTTCTTTCGCTATTTGTGTTTTATTGACTAGTTTAGTTGACTAGCTTTAGTCAAAACATTATTTTGAGAACATTACAAGAAAATATAATAGAAATAATTATGCTCATTGAGACAAAGCTATCCGACTTTTGCTCTATCTTTTGGCATGATTAGTAGCACTTATTTTAATTTCTTTATATCGCGATAAAAATTATTGTTTATCCCCGGCAAGAAGCAAGCTATATAGAAGAAGCATTTTGACATCGAATTATTTGCTCATTTTCAATCCTTCAAAAATTTGCCAGAATCTTTTCTCGCATAGAAACTACAATAGGTATATCGAGTATTATATATCATTATTTCCTTCACCATATTAGTTTGTAGCCTGGATAAGTTATACTCAAATAATACGACACGATGCAAGTCTCCGGCATTAGCAGACCGAAGTTAAAAATTAAATATTCCACCACCTTTGCCATTTATTCCGTTCGGTTGTTTGTTCCTTTTCTCACCAGATCCTTACGAAGTAGGAGCATATATAGATCGTCTATTACCTGGAACCTCCAAATTGGCAGAAGTTACGGTAGAACCTAAACTATTCGTTGCCGTACACACATAAGTCCCAGCGTCCTCTACATAAGAAAATGTACATAATTATCTGACCAAATTATTATCTTCTTCTGTATTTGAATACAATTATAATGTATTAGAACAGTTTTGTAAAAATGCACAAATAAATTAGTACAGTAAATATTAAAGAACTAATGAAAAAAAGACAATGGAGTACCACTTGTATATATCATACCGGGTAAAGCTCTCGTTATGGTAAGGCGACAAACACCATTTCTATATTGGACTTCATGGCTCTTAGAATTTTCGACGATTCTATGATCTTTTGACCAAAGGATATTGGGCTGTGGTTCAGCCTGAACAATACATTCAAATCTAGCTGGTTGTCCGCTTACTACCGCGATATCTTTTAGCGGCTGCAATAATGATCAAAATTTCTTTTTTTAGCGCGATTTTTAAACAGAATTCTACAGTTAATAATAAGTACTTTACTCGATTAATGTTATTAATTTAATATTATTACCGTAATGAATGTAGGAGCCTTCTTCGGTAGTATTTCGAGATAAGGCTGAATTACTTCCTTACTCGATGATACTCCATTGCTAATTGGCCACGGTGAACCTATGATTTTCAATGAGATTTCAATGAGACTTTAATGAAAAAATACTATTAATATCATATGACGATAGCACAATTTAGACATTACAAAGTGATTCGTGCACAATCTGATACAATAGCATAATAGCCAATATGTAGTAAGTTGTTAGGACCTAAAGAAATGAATAAATGAATAATGTGTCAGAATACATAAATGTACGAAGCATCTAATTTTAAAGCAATATATCTTATGATATTGTAAATTTGTTAGAAGAATCTTGAGAAAGATCCGAGCACGAGAAAAGCAAGAGTGCAGTCTTAATGCAAATTACAATAGAAGCTATTGTAACTATTCCAAAGTAACGAGAGATTGTTTACTAAATAGAAAGAAACAATTTTAGGTACGTTGCAATAATATTATTATAACACAATAATATGCAAAATCGATCAAAGCAAAGCAAGATAAAAAGTGCTGCAAGAAAAATTTAATAAAGGCAACGCGCGTTCTCGATGGCAGGTATGTACCTGCAGAATCCACATTGCTAGGTGGTCCAGTAGCGCTACTCTGTCTCGGAGAGAGGCTTGGCAGGCTTGGACTAAGAGAAAGCGGACTGGGCGTTGTACGATCCCATCTTGATGGTGACATAGAGCTAGGTATGACAAGACTTGGAGGTGTCATTGAGCATTCTATGTCTCTCTTATTCGATTGCTTTTTATTCAGATTCTTTGTGTCTTCAGTTTCAGAAAACTCGCTCTCTGATGTTGGCTCCCATTTAACAGTTTTTGAGTTTCCGAATTTATTTCCAATCTTGCTCTGCCGGTTTAAAAATGTGCCTTTCTTCATATAACCATTCGCCTTCTTTTCAGTAAACTCGTGAATTATAGGTACTTCTATATCGCTGGAACGTCTCTGTCCTTGAATGCTCTTCTTGCTGCTCTCAACCGTTTTTTTACCTTCGCCAGGCAAAACGATACCGAATTCATAGCCAAAATCGTACTTGAAGTATATAAGTCCAGTATCCGGATCAATTTGTTTTGTTCCTGTTTGCGCCAATCAGCATTATATGCTTACATTACATCAATGTAATTTATTTATTACAAACTTATTCATGCGATATATTCTACGCTCATTGTTAAATTGCAGGCAGATCTTAAACTTATGTGTTAAATACGTATATGTAAACGTGTGTGAACGCGCGTGTTGTATTTTTATATCAATTGTATATAACGTATTTAAAGCATCGAATCTCACGCGATTACAACGAGTCAAACCTATCTTTTAGACTAACGAAATGAAGATAATATTAATATTACCGTGTTCGGTGACTCGCGATTCTTCTCTATAAGTTCTTGGCTCGTCAGTATCGGTTACCTTGGAGTCATTAGGATGCTTCAAAATCGGTTTACCCTGTCTCAAATCCGATTGGATATCGCTCACAAACTTTTCGGTTTTAGATTTAAAACTGCTCGTCATATCACTCATATGACGCGACGCGATGTCTGTGAAGATTTCAGAGCTTTATATTAAGAACAAGAATTTATTTGTTTTTCAAATAAGAAAAAAAGAGAAATTATAGTGTAAGAAAATTTCTATATATCCAATAATTATATATCCAACAGAATAAAGAATAACTTATAAGAATAAATATTGGTCGATAATTGTGAGTACCATTTCTTTACGATTGTCGCAAATAAAAAATATAGCTATACTTTTATTTAAGAACATATCGTGAAAATGTTATGTGGTATTGATGTTGCTCTTACGGCCTGCTGCTCTTTTTACGCCGCTTCTCGAGATAAATCCGTATTCAGGCGGTGCACCAGGCTGTAAAACGTTGTCGGTCTTTCCGGAAGTTGTACGCTGTTGGTACTTTTGAAAATTGATCTTTTCGTCCATATCTTCTCTGCGAATCTGCGTCAATGACGTTGTCGGAGGACTGGTGTCAAACTCCATCGGTGATGCGATGTGTGTCTGCCTAACTGGTGCACTCAAAGATCTCACACTTCTTCCTGTAGGTGGTTGAACTCTTCGGTAATATGGTTCCTCGGTGTCACTATCCGCTGGAGTCCATTTCGGTCGAATTCTACTTGAATCTACATCGCTCTCGTAATCAGATTCCCGAAATTGCCCTTGCACAAATTTTCTCGGTTTAGGAACATAGTAATTAGTCGTTTGTTGTTTTTGGGCAGGTGTGTCACCAAACTTAATTACTCGGCTTGTTTGCTCAACAGTAACAATCCTTCTAGCATTCTCCGTTGACTCGTCCATCCTCACGGTTTTTTTCATCTCTGTGCCCATCGCGTTTGTAAATGGTACGCCTGTATGTGCTTCGTAAAATTGTTGTTGCGATTGGGGTGGCGCATAAGCGAGTTCCGGTGGAGAGCCAGGTAGGAGAACCGTTTTTGGTTTTGCTGGTACTACTACTGTATGTTGCTTGCGAGGCAAGATCGGTTCTGTTGATTTTCCTATGAAAAGTTTGCCCGTGTAATCTTTATTCAAATTTCTTCTGACAGCTCGATAAAAGAGCACAAGAAAAATTAAGGGAGACTACTGATAAAATAGTAGAGAGAGAGAGAAAGAGAGAAAGATCGGTTTTACATATCAAGCAGATCTTATTAAAGTCCAAATAATCAAAATTTGATGAGTTTCGATCTCAATATTCAGTCTTACATTAATTTTGAATGTCACTTCCATAAATATAATATCGACAGTATCTCGGACTTTTCTCGACCTTATGATGACAAAACCGATTATAATGAGATAGCGAAAGACAGAAATAAGCGACAGCGATGATGAAAAGACGAAACTTAATAATCACTTTAAAATGAAAGAAATGGCATGCAAAGCTAGATAAGAGAACTTATGCTTGTATAAAGTTTGCAAGAAAGACTGTATTAGTTGAAAAATAAAATAAGATAAAACATTTATTAATTAAAAATTTAGCCTCTGATTATTTTCTATTTAAAATCAGCAAAGTTATAATGTAATCAGGATTAAACAGCGGTCGTATGTATGCATTCATTACTATCGTTAATTATAGGTTCATTTCTGGATTATTTGCTATATTTATAACAAAATAGTTTTATTTTTTGTAATATGTTATATCCTGATATAACAAATAATTCACTGTTTATATATATATATATATACATATATATATATATGTGAGTCACACAATGTTACGTTAATTAAAAAAGTAATATTACATAGTACATTAAATATTCCAATTGAAATGTTAAATTTAATAAGTAATACCTAAATCAGCAGCACTAAACTTTGTGGAGCTAACGGTGTGGCTTAACGATGTTTTACCATCATAGTCGCTCTCATAGTCGCTCTCGCGAAAGTCACCCTTCATTAATTTTGAAGGACCTGGAGAGGTGGACAAAACTTTTTCCGCTGGTTCCAATTTTCTATGCAACTGGTTTATGGAATATCCCGTCTCCTGCAAACATTTTGTGAAGACTTCTGATTTAATGTATATATAACGCTGCAAACCGCAACAAATAGCATACACATATTTCTTAATAAAATCCGATAGTTAAAAGACATATTAAAATCTACAAAATATTTCACAATACTTATTAATCAATTTCTTAGGCAAGCATGAAAAAAATAACATTTGAAATAGCACACAGACACGCATCAAATCTCGAACCTTCATGGATTCGGATCTACGCAGGTCACTGCTGGTTGATGATGCATAGCTCTTCTCCAACGAGCTGCGTTGTTGGTGAACGGTTTTGGGAGTCGCCGGTGCACTACAAACAGTTGGTGAGACAAAGGAAGTCTCTTCTTTTCGCAAATGATCACTTTTGTAACTGTGACTTTCAAAAGACTTTGTTCGGCTTTCAGTGCACGTGGTACGACTCTCCGTGTGAACCATTGTCGAGGGACCGTCGCGTTTTCCAACAAATTTTTGCATCGTCATGGATGAAGCCTTCTGCTGGAATGGCTCGTCGGTATCCGCCATATAACCGCTTTCTTGTTGAAAAACTTTTGTTTTAAACTTTGGAGATTCCGGTTTTTTAATAGGAGATTTCGGCGCTGAACTCTTCGTGCTCGGCTGTACGTAAATAGGTGGAGAACCGGGTTTTAAAGAAATCGGACTTTGCTGCTGCTGCTGCTGCTGCTGCTGTTGTTGTTGTTGTTGTTTGAATTCTCGCTCGTGTCGTTTAAATGTGATTTTTCTTGCTGCTTTTTCGGAAGATTCTGTAGCAACGAGTGATTTGGATAGCCCTGGAAATTGTGAAGGAGTCTCGAATTTTGAAGGCGGGAGTGGCTCAGGTTCGGTGGACCTCGGCCTTGGTTGTTTCGGAACAGGTGCCTTGACTCTTCGATAATGCGGCTCTTCGCTATCGCTCTCGTAAGGTCTCCATTTTGCTTTCAGACGGTTGTCGAAATCAGACTCGTAATCACTTTCGTGACTAAAGGAGCCCTTAATGAACCTTGATGGAACTGGTGTTGAGAGTTTAATAGGTTTTTTAGTTGGGACGGGGGGCGGTGTAATACGTACATCTTTCGGTGGAAGTACGGGTGGTTCCTCTACTCTTTTTTCTATTTTCGTATACTCCAATGCAGTTTTTTCTTTTGCAACGGGTGGTGGAATATATCCAATTTCTGGAGGAGATCCTGGCTCGAGAACGATCGAGTCCACTTTTGTCTCCATAGGACGATGTGGTATCACAAGCGATTTCGTGGTTGGCTCAACCTTCTTTACCAAACTAGGTGCCTTCAACTCTTTGTCTTCTGCCCAACGTTTCGAGCTGAAATCTTCCATTTTCTGTATTGTTTCAGCTTTTTCCATGTTGCATTCAGTTATGTATTTTTCGAACAAAGCCTTCTCTTGCACAGTATTTACAGTATGGTCGACTTTAATCGTTTCGGCGTTATAGATTATCGGACCTAATTTAAACGTAGGTGGAGATGCTTCCGTTATCTTTTCAGTGAATTTTTCTTTGCTGGACCACGAGCGTTTTTCTACATTGGCAGACGATTCCGTACTAATCTTCTTTATTCCACCTTGCGGTGTTTCCTCAATCTTTTGCTCAAATTCTCTCGAAGAGCTCTTGTATTCATCAACAGGAATATTCCAATCGTACTTTTGGATCGCTTGAGTTTGTGGTGGCCACGATTTTCTATTTGAATCTACGTATTTTTTCGCCCAAGATTTTTCCATCGTCAGTGCATCTATAGATGGTTTCGGTGATGTAGATCTCAAAATTTCCTGATGACTAGAAGCAGCTGAATGACATCTATATTCCGATAAGTCTGTAGACACGTGCGATTTGGTTTCTACATCCGATGATGAAGACCACGGTCTGATAACAGGAGAAGTACTTCTCAAAATCGATGTCGAAGTGCATTTTGATGGTTCCATCTTTTCCTCTTTGAAATATTTGCTTTCCTTTTTCTCGTATGCATCTTTCTTTACGCATGTCTTTTCAAATGTTTCTTTCTTCTCGAGTTCAAATGGCGGCGGTATTGTACATGTTAGAATAGGTTCGGCGGCTTTAAAAGGTTCTGGTGCCTTTGGAGTAGACGTAGGAAAGATCTTTACACCTCCGACTGGAGCATCTATAGGAGAGAGTGTCTTATCAAAAGATTCCTGAAGCTGTTTTGCCTTGACAAATACTTCAGGTCGTTTTTTTTTCATCTCTTCTGGTTTTGGCATGTAGCATATCTCAGGAGGTGGTTCCGGCACTAGATCAAAACTTTTCATCATCGTTTCAGAACTCCTCGTCTGAATTTGCGAAATAGACGTACCGGAAGTTATTCTTTCCTCTGCAGTCTTTTGTATCTCCGTTGAGGGCAGTCTAGGACTCTCGTATGGAAATTCAAATAGTTTATTATCCACTCCGCGAGACGACGAACCTTGTTCTAACTTGGTAAAAATATCCTGGGCAGCCTTCTTTGTTGTCTGAAACCCTGACAGTTTTGCTTCCGGTTTCTTCGCTTCTTGATAAACGGATACTCGTTCATAATTTTTTGTTAATTTTCCAACCGTCGCTTCCTGAGTTTGCCCATCTTCCGTCAGCTTAATCATTTCCTTTGGCCCTTTTGGCATTATCTCACTTTCCTTCGTAATAGATTCGAAGAAACTCAATGCATCTTTTTTTGCAATCGTAGAAGTCTCTACGTTTTCATTATCGATCGTTGATCTTTCTTCCGTTTGTATTAACGGCTTCGTGACATCTTTTTTGTCACGGTCGACTTCCTTTGTCGTAATCGTTTGTTCGATTCGAGGCGCGGACTCCACAATGGATGGAGTTTTATGTTCCAATTTCATATGGAACATTTGTTCTGACTTCGTTTTGGTTTCATGGGATTCGATTATAGATGAAATCGTTTCCGATTTACTAGCTTGTATTTCCGGTTCGTCGATCTTTTGCACCATGTCGATTGTAGTCGAGGCCAATGTTGCAGGCTTCAATCCGACAAACGCGATCGCTGTCGTTGGTGTTTGTTCGCTCGTTGAAATACTTGATGCCATCTCCTCTCTTTTTCCCTCAGACTAAGTACAAGTATATAATTTTACAAATATATAGACGCAGTAAATATTCAGAACGTTAAATTGTATTCCATTGCTTCATATTACTATCATTATAGAAATATTATAAAGCTTATTTATTAAAAAAGATAAGTTACCTGGACGACACTTTTATCCTGAATATTTTCGTAAGTGACAGTTTTATGCACCTCGACCATAGTATCAGGCTTTGGTTCAAAAACCGCGATATCAGCGATACTCTGCGCCTCGCCACCAGCGTTCGTCGCTCGTACCATGTATTTGCCAGCATCTTCTTCTCTGACTATAATTATATAAGTGTAGATACATAATAGATTAATAAAATTAATTCTTTAACTGTCACGAATAATTAGAAAATAAAAGAGCAGTGGTTCAAATTTATTTAGCCGTGATGAGAATATGTAATAAAAAATATACCTTTGTCTATGAACAGCGTGTAGCAATTTCCTTGTTGAATAATTTTCAATCTTGGTGGTTGCTCATTGATCGGCATATCGTTTTTATACCAACTGACCGTAGGCTCAGGAATACCAGTAATTTCTACCTCCATAATAACACGATCACCTTTCTTTATTACTTGGGCCTTAAGGCGCTTGCCGAAAACAGGTGGAAATATTGTTTCTAAAATTATACATCAATAGTGAATTCTCTTACACATTGTTTAAATTCTATGTACAATTTTTACTCCGTTAATTTATATGCCATTTACTTTTAACGACCAAGTCAGCCGTGCTACTAGCACTTCCAACATCATTGCTCACTTTACAGGTATAACGTCCAGCATCTTTCACATTGACATTCCTCAGTTCCAATTTGACGTGATTGTGAGCGTAACTAGTTTTTATATTATCCTTCAATGTCAGCTCCTGACCGTTCTTTGACCATAGAATCGTCGGTTGCGGAAAACCTGAAATAAATTAAAAGCAGACGAAACAATGAAAAAGATAACCGTAAATATATTGACAAAATGTCATACTCTATAAATGTAAATTATATGATTTATATGTGAGGCGCATACACTATACAGCACACACTCACCGTCAACGATACCTTCGAGAACTACATCAGCTCCTTGATCGACGATCATTCCTGTAATAGGTGAAATGAATCTTGGTGCTATCAGTTTCCTAGATGGTTTTTGAACTTGACTTGTCTTAACATCGCGTTTTACACCTTCCGTTTCTTCAGACACGAGAACGGTTTTCTCTTGTCTCATCTCGCCAGGTTGCTCTTGTATGATCTTTTCATACTCCTCGATTTTTTGAGACTGTAAAATTAATATTTTTAATTGATCAATGTGCTTATATGCGTTCATGAGTACTCGATGCAAAAATAAAATGAGCACAAGTTATTATTTTCACAAAATGCTATACAAAACAGATGTATTAAGTATATTTACCTGTACGACAGGTGGTGCTCCGTTTTCTGAAGTGGACTGTTCGGAACTTTGCACAGTTGTTTTGGTGCTAACGCTGATAGGTTCGTGTCCAGATTGTGACAAAGTCGAAGTCATAGTAGATGATGAAAATTCCTTTTTCGTGGACATTGTTGAAGAATGTGTGACAGTCGATGACATTTTGGTTAGCACTTGACTTTCACCGCCACCTTCGTCATATGTTTTCTCTCTTGAAATGTGTTTATCGCTGCTGCTTGCAGGATGCATAGTGCCTGCAGGAAAATATGGAACTAACTCGAACACTTCCTTGACTTCACTTGCAGCCGGCCTCACTGATCCACTATCTGTAAATTAATCCAGTTATGTCAATAAAGTGATTACATTCCTCCGATGTATGAATGATAATAAAATATACTTTGAGAGATCTATAGGCAACATTGCGGTTGAGAATTATGAAAAATATGAGACGACACTATATAACAATTCTTTTACGTCATTAAAAGTTTCTCTTTTTATAAACCAATATACTATTATGAATATTATAATTATAATATTTATTTTAGTGTTTCTTATATATTCTATCCGATTAAATTATTTAAACAGTGATTATTAAATAAAAAAATTATGTTATGAGAATAACTGAATTATTTCCACGTAATTATACAGTAGATTATGTTTTATTTTTAATTAACATAATATTCACTTTGTAAATGTAAGAGATCAAGAAATCAAGAGTTCTGGAGCGTACCAACCGCACGGTCGAAATGCACCCAGCGAAGTAACGAAATACTTTGCCTCCGATCCACGACAGAAATAGTATCGTTCACCTAGTAATAGGTGAATCGAGCACTCGGCTGCAATATATAACCCAAGACCCAATTTATCGTTGTCATTCTATACTCTTTAATGATGCGCACGTATTATGTTCGACATCCGATAAACGATATCATTTTAGACTTTTTTCATATCGTTACTTATATTTTAGTTTTTCTCACTTATTAATAAGAAATAAATTAATAAATTCAGAGACCATCATTAGATTATTTCGCAGTTTTTAAAAAAATTTATTTTTAAATGTATAAACAGCTGAATAAAATATTCTAATTTTATATTGATATAAACTGTAATATTTTCTAAGATTTAATAAATAGATTAATTTTTATATCGACAATCATATAAATTCTAAAGATGTATGCAAATAAGAAAAATTATTTGATAAAGTAAATATTGACAAGATTGCTACAAAAATTTATTTCTATTTTTTTCAAGAGACCAGACTGTGCGCTGAGTATTTGTATCGATAAAAATAACACGATTTCTGTAGAAAATGAAAGAAGGCGAGATGAGCAAAGAAGACAATAAAGAATGACTCGTCTTCAAAGTATTCTTAAATTTTTCCTTTGTAAAACGTGATTCTAGATACTTTTGATTTTTATATTACTTGATAATTTCATATTTTGTACACGGGACGAGAGAGAGAGAGAGGGGGGGGGGGGTTCATGTTGTAAATTTATATATTCAGGTCACACTATAAACATATGAAGGTAGTATCATCCATACTTAGCAATAACAAATCAAAATCATTTATAATTTAAAGCAAAAATGATGTTATTAAATTTCAACGTAACAGCTAGTATTATACGTATATGTTTTTTCCGATTCTGTGTCTCATCGAATGGTTATTTTATCTATCGTCGACTGGGAATTTTGAATGAGCCACATCGGTCTGGGTAACGCGAGTATTAATAACTTGTGACACCGTTGCACTTTCTAATATTATTTCCAGCATTTTACGGAAGAAAATAAAGAAATAAAATAGCTCTATTATTGCAATGTTATAAAAGAGTTGTTAAAAAAAGCAAACAAAATACAAAATAAAATGTTTAAATGATATTAACTTACCAATTTCTATTTTAGCACTACAAACTGCTCTACCAGCCGTGTTCTCCGCTATACAAGAGATAGTACCGACATGTGCGTCTCCAACCACAGGAATTGTCAAAACTTGTCGATCTCCACTAACGGAAACTAGAAAATCTTTCCCGTGAACCGTTCGTCCATTAAAGAACCACTGAATCTATAAAAAAAAATCTTAATAATAAAATCCATTATCAATTAATCGAATAGAAATAAAGTACATTGAATGTATGTGTGTGTGTGTGTTCGTGTGTGTGTATTGGTAAAAAAAAGTATATTACATTCCCGTTATACTTGACAATTTACAGTTTCGGAGACGAAAAAGTTGTTAACAAGTACATGGGTACCTCTGTGACAAGATCACAGTGCTTCGCGCCGCATCGAAAGTTCCATCTTATGCTCCGCGGCGCGACTGCAATCGAGCTTTTCACATGAAGTATATTGTTCGCGTTTAAATATAACTCGTCGGGCACAAAATTACTTTTACCCGTCTTGACAGGCCGGCCAACCTCTCATCTAGACGTTGTTTACGTGACCAATGCAAATTTTAAAACGCTAAGATTTCAAGAATCACAACTCAAGTGATATTTTTACTGTAACTTCATTGAATGGTTTTTGTATGAAACAATATATTTATAAAACTTATTTAGTAAAGAATGAACATAATATTATAATATTATCATCATAGTTTACAAATTAACAAGATTTTATGTCTACAAATTTGTTTAACTCTGTTAGGACTTATAAAAGTAAGTATAATATAGCTTACTTTTAAAGAGAATGTGAAGATTCGCTTCATTGTACACGAGAATATAATACAAGGTATGTAATTTTCGAGAAAAATTTTTATATTGTATTAAATTTACCTTAGGAGAAGGTTTACCAGTGGCAATGCATTCGAATTTTGTTGAAACTCCTTCCAGTACTTTTCTGTCCTGAAACTTTTCTTTGAATGTTGGTTGAATCAATTTTTCTTCCATCTGTATAAATTCTTCGTTTCTCTTAAAATCACCGAGTGACTTTACAACCAATCTAGCGAAAGCTTTTGCCTCACCATGTGTGTTTATGGCTTTCGCCACGTAATTGCCTTTATCTTCCTTTATCGTTGATGAAATTTGTAAAAAGGCCGTTCCATCTTTTCTTTCTCCAATCTATTACATTGTAAAGCAATTTTACCAAAAATATATTATCGTTATTTCAGTAACCATTATATGAAATATAATTTGTGCCAAATACAAATATACATATAATACTTACCAAAATTCTTCCATCTTGGATCATTTCGCCGTCGTCCGAATACCATTTCAAATCAGGCTTAGGTTCTCCAATTACAGCACATTCGAAAATTGCATTTTCGCTTTCAGCCACTAGCAAGTCCGTAGGAAGTTTCACAAACTTTGGCACGGAACCACTGGCAAGAGTTCCTTCCTGTTTCTCCACTCGATCGATTACATTTAAGGTGCGAGGTGCTGCTATAAATTATAGAAAAAATATTATGTATAAACATAAAATATTGAATTTTTTAAGGAATAATTATACATACGCATAATTGTTAATGTACACTGACTAGATGCTTCGCCACCAGAATTAATAGCAACTACTTTGTAAACACCGGCGTCATCCAAGAAAGCTTCATGAATAACTAATGAACACCGATCACCTTGGAAGAGTAATTGGAAATCTGATGATTCTTTTACCGGTTGTTCATCGTGGTACCAAATTACCTAAAAGTCACAAAGCTGATAGAAAAAGAAATTATAAAGATGAAAAATTTGGGAAGAGATAAAATTTACCTCCGGTTCAGGTTGACCTACAATCACACAATCTAGCCTAGCCGATTGTCCTTCTTGAATTTTAAGATCTTGCAAAGGTAACTGAAATTTCGGGGTTATTGGTTTTGTGTCGCTACAAATAAAATCAGATTCGCTGGTCTCATGAAGCGAACGTTCTTTCACAAAAACGGTACAAGTTGAGGTGGCTTTTCCGATTTCATTACTGGCAGTCACTGTATAAGATCCGGCATCTTTCGGGAAAGCTTCCGCAATGATCAAACATGTTTGAGCACCGTTCGTTTGAATCTGAATAAGCATACAAATGATTACGTTACGTTAAATATATCAAAACATTAATGCCATTTTATCTTACTTTGTGATGTTTGCTTTCTTCAAACGGCTTCCCATCGTGAGTCCATATTAATTCGAGAACTGGATCTCCGTTAGCTTCGCATTCCAATTTTACTTCCTGCCCTGCCCTGACCATAATATTTGATAATGGTACCACAAAATATGGTTTCTTTGCGGAAATTTGGGCGGCTGAAATTAATATTTATACGTACATAAAAAGGAAGCACGTTTTTAATGTATCCATTACCAGTACCAATGTCACAACGGGACTTACGTTTCACGTCCAGAAAAGTGGTAGTAGATGACTGACCCCATTGATTTGTTGCTTTACAGGTATACGAAGCTTTATCTTCCAAGAAAACTTCATCAAACTTTAAAATAGCTTCTCCATTATTAAAAGTAATAACGTAGTCCGGAGAATTATCAATGTTGATATCATTTTTGTACCATTGTACCGTTGGTAGAGGATTTCCTTTAACAGTGCACTCTAATTTATGACAACATCCTTCCCTCGCAAAAGAAGGCTGCAATTCTTTCACGAAAACGGGGGCACTTGGTTGTTCTTCCGTTATAGTTTCTACAAAATTTCAAAATATTTAACTTAAACAGTCGAACAGTGGTGTATGTAAAAAATTATCTTAACGAAATTCTCGTATAAATGAAATTACCTTTGATAGTGAGAGTGGCCGATGTTTCGACAGAGCCAAGAATATTAAATGCACGACAAGTGTATTTAGCAGAATCCTCAGCAAATGTCTCTTCTATTTTTAAAGTACAAACACCGTTTGCATAAGTTGTCAAATAGTCTGGATTATTCAAAATTGATATTCCATCTTTGTACCATATTATTTCTGGTATTGGCTGACCAATTAAGTGGCATTCTAAACTGAACTCTTTGCCTTCTTGAACCATCGCATCACGTAAAGGAATTGTGAATTCTGGAGCCAATGAAGCAATTTTGTCCGTTTGTGCTTGTTTCTCCTCGGATACCGACTCTCTTGGTGGACTAGTTTCCTTTCGTATAACCGGAACACTTTTCTCGACTTCTGTCTATAAGGATAACAAACATTTTACAATTGTAAAATTAATGATTGAAATACGTCGTTTATAAAGTACCTGTTGGAGAATATGAATTTCTTTCGTCGTCACGGCCGAAGTAATTGTTTCTTCAATTATGGTCTCATCAGTTTGGGCGGAGACAGAGTGAGAAACGGGAATTTTTCGTGCTTCTTCCTCTTTTAATCTTTTCACTTCTATCGCAGCTTTGTCTAAAGCTTCAGCGGCAAGCTGTTCTGCAAGCTTCTTCGCATTTTCTGCTTCCATCTTTGCAGCTTCCGCCGCAGCCATTTCTATTTTAGCAGCTTGCAGTTTTTTATCTGCTTCTAGCTTCTCAATTTGCAATTTCTCTCGGAGATCTTCGGCATTCTGTAAATTTTGACTCAAAGTACGCAACTCGGAAGAAATGACTACAAAGGAGTCTAGCATTTGCCGATTCTCTACTACCACTTCATTGAATTGCGGAAGTCTGTCTGTACCTAAAACAGTATATTACAAAACAGATCTTTTTTATACTTCTTTTGCTCGTTTGGTACACTCTTTTGTATAAAAAATATGATACTGCTTTTACCGAAAACTATTGTCGATAATTGTTTCAGCTTCTCAATTCTCCTTTCCTGCTGCTCTTCGCCAGGCTTTACATAAGTATCAATCTCTCGCAGTAAATCAGTGGCTTCTTCAGAGACTTTTACAGTTGTTGCCTTACGTGCAACAATTACTAAAAGTTTACTACCTTCCCTAAACCACTGTTTAGCTTCTTCCAAGAGTACGAAATAGTCAATACTTAAATTCATTCTCTTCTTGGTATCCCTAACATATTTCATCAGATGATCCCATCTGTTTCGCAGAGATAAAATTTCATCCGTCACTTGTGGAGTTAATGGAACAATTGTTCCTTCTGTCTTTTTTACAAAGGTCTCAATTCTCTCTTCCAAAATCTAGCGGCAAATATATAAATTAATATAAAAATTATTTCTTAATTTTATCACTGTACGATTAATTTAATAATATTACTTACCATTATTGTTTGTTCAAACTGTTCGAAAGCAGCTAGTGTCGCTTTCGATACTGATAAATTGTCACCAATTTTTCCGTCCATATTCTTTAGCTGTTCATGCAATTCACGTAGATCCGAATTAATCTTTTCGAGATCCTCTCTAAAAATGCAAAGACGTCGATGTTTTTCAAGATGGCTTGACGTTTCGGTTTGGAACGATTCAAATTTGACACTCATGGAGTCTATTGTACGTTTTAGTTTCTCAATATCTTGTATTGCTGATTCTGGCGGTTCCTGTAGTTTAATATTGTTAATTACTGCTTCAGATTTTGTACGTGCTCGCCGTAAAGATTCCGCAATAAATGTTTTTATTATATCAAGTTTATTTAAAGAACCATCCACATCAATCAGCTTGGTAGAACTTGATGCATATTCAGTTTCTTGCTTTGCTTCTTCAATTTTACGCTCGATCTTAAAAGTAGCAAAGAACAATTTACATATTTCAAGACACGTGTATAATAAATAGTGTAGTATTGCGTTCAACGTATTTGAAACTTTGTCTTACCTTCTCTAGATTCTTAAAGATAGAAATTAAAGATTCTAACAATATTTCGTAATCTTTGACGATAGTATTCATCTTTTCATGCATTTGCACGAGTCTCTCTGAGATTTGCTCGGCTACTTTAGTTTCACCTAATTTAATAAAAAAAATTTTATGTAATATGCCTTAGTAAATGCGATATATCGCACAAATATGTCCTAGTTACCTCTTTCGACAAATACTTGAATACTTTTGATTCGAACATCCAATTCCTGAAGAGCTTTGTTCAATTCAAGTATGATTCGTTTTCTCACATCTTCCAAATTATCCAAAATATCAACTATTCTGGAAGATCGTGTTATTATCATTGGATACAGTGTTGCCTCAAGTTTTGTAATCCACTCTAATGTCTGTAATAGAATAAATCGTTAATAACAAGAATTAATAAAAGAATAACAAATAATACAAGTACTTTTACGAACATTTTTCTATACTCCTTTTCTTATCTTGCTTTAAAAAATTATTTTACAGAACAAATTAAAAACGGATGCTACATAAATAAACGTCATAAAAGGGACTTGTAAAAAAACAGTACAAAATTTGATAACATAAATAAGAAATCCTACCCTTGTACTTTCTTGTACTTTTTGCTCACATTCTATTCGCTTTTGTCTCGTTATTTGGATAGCAGTCTGCCATTTTTCTCTTGACTCTAGCAAAACCAGTTGTCGATTAGCAAACTTTTCCAAGAGAGTCTCAACACACAGACAAGCTTGCGATATACCGAGGTAACAGTCATCAATCTACAAAGAAAAATATGGATGCCAAAGTTTTGTATAATACCTTATAGTTTTTTAAAATAATAACATTAGATTTTTTAAATGAAAGAAACACTTTATAAGCTACTTACTTTGCTCGTTTCATTGAGAAATACTTTCGCCTGATTATCAAGTTTTTTATAAAGTGACTCAAAAGATTTCCATTTCTTTTCTAGTTCATTAAACCTAGGCTCATTTAACACAGCTTCATGCTTTTTCAATTCATTATCGATAGAGTCTGTTTCATGAGTCAATTGTTCCACAATTTCATGAAACTGTACATAAATAGTCCCCAAATCAATTCTTTTTACCATTGTAATCTTTGTTTTCGTCCATTCGTCTTCAAGATTCTTTATTTTTAATTGTAATTCGTATTTCTGTATTTCGTCCAGGCGTTCTATGATTGGAATAATTTCCAATTCTAAATGATCTACCTCCTCGCTTTTACTTTTCAATTCAGCTAGCAATTGACAATGAACTTGGCGAAAATCACGTGCCATTGCCAGATCGCTGCCCATATCGTGATGCTTTTGAAGAAAGGCTTTGGCGGTATTAGTTAGCCAAGCTTGTAATGCGTCATGCTTATCTGAAAATGCAGCAAGTATTCTCGAAACCTCCACATTTTCTTCTTTATGAGCTGTACATCGTTCCATCAAACAAAATTTGCGATTCTCCAATTTTTCTATAGTATTCCTTACACCCTGAACATAATATACATATATATTTTATGGCATATAATTCAAAATTGATAAACAGATTTATAATTTATATGTACTTAGTAATGATAACAGCCTAACTTTAACTTAACACACAATGATAAATACGATTGATTGATTAATCGATTGAACTAACCTCGGCACCAGATACTTCTTTTCCCGTGATATCTAGAAGCGTATATCCTTCTGACAATGGCCTTGAAGTTATGTCTTCTATCGTAGCCACTGTTTGCGCATGAAAACGTGCCAGTCGTGCTGAATAAGGAGGATACTCCGTTGTCATCAACTGAATTTCCAGCTGGTCCAGTTTTGTGATAGCCTGATTTGTAATTGCATTGACTAATATTAGCATTTAAATTCAAATAGATCATTATACGCGACTGAATTAATTTATGAAACGTTATATTATTTCACTCATTAGTCCACTATAGACGAGTAAAAAACTTGGAAACACTCACCGATTGTGCATAATCGAAAAAGGCTATTGCCCTATTCAACAATATATTGTATTGATCTAAGTCGTTGATATAATCGGCAGCGGTGCTAAGAATCGCGTATGCCTGTTCGGTCGCTTGTTCGCCTGCAAAGTGTCCCGATGACACTAATCGTTCGGTCGATTTAGTTATTTTAATAGCCCTATCTTGAAACTCCTAGAAAAATATTTAAAATAAAACAGAAGTTGAGTTTTTTTTATAGAGTATTACTTTGTATAGTACATATATCAAGGACCAGAAACGAGTAGATCATATCTAGTTATTTCTCATGATATTAGCTAAATTGATTTTTTCGGATACCTTTGCTTCGACTTGCAACTTTTTTAATTCAAAAAGAAGCAGCTCCACGCTAGATACGGAATCTCCCAATTGATCGCAACTGCCCTCCAATGCAGTGATTCTGTCATTGAGAATTTCTTCGAGATCGCGAAGATCGGTTGCAAGTAGTGCGAGAGCGAGACATTGCTCCAATTGAGTTTTTCTGCTACGAAAAGATGTCTCGATCAGCCGCCTTCTATCGTGAAGTTCTTCCAGCCATTTTTCAACTCGCAACACAGCTATAGAAGTATGATATTATATCAGAAATCTTAATTCTATGACAGCAAGCTGGTTAAATTGATGAACAAATAATTACATATATTGAATATACATTTTAAACATAAACATACCATGATTAGCTTCAGCTTTAATTGTATCCGGCCTAGAATCCAAAGTGCCTTCGTTTACCAATTCCTTGAGTCCATCCAGCAAACTTTTACCCTCTCGCAACGCACCCATCAATGATTCCAACATATCTTTTCGAAGATCTTGAATTTTCGATAAAAAGCTCTTTACTGCTTCTATCTCGATCGGTAGTAACGTGTCGTTACACGCCATTTCCAACGCTTCCATCCTTTCTCTACATTCTGCCGCGCGACTATTTAAAAAAATATAATCTATTTTCTTAAAGAATTTTTATTTACAGTACAAATTATATGTGATTAATTAATTATTGCACATTATACCATTGAAATAATACGTTTTGGTCGAGTATTTCCTTACGACGTTCTAAAAGTTGATTTACATCACGCCATGCCTGACCTAATGTCTCCGCCATGGCAGTGTACACTTCTGCTCTTGGTCTCTGAGTCGCGATTAAATGATCAGCTTGTCGCAATAACTCTTCCACCGGGCTTTGTTTGTTCTGATTATGATAAAGTTTTAATTAACAGAGGGTGAGAGGTAGAGAGAAAGAGAGAGAGAGACAGAGAGAGAGAGAGGGAGGGGAGGATATGTTAAGCAATGTATAATATTTAATTATGTTTAATAAAAGTTTTATGTAATTTAAATTTTTGTACGTTAATACATTAAACTTTACCTGTAATCGAAGTAACACTTGATCGTGTGCATTTGAGAGTTCCGTGGCTTCTTTTACGGAAGCACCAAGTTTCGTTAATTCTGGTTGTAGCTCGAGTATTTTCAGCTTTAGCCATTCACCGCTCTACATAAAAACAGTAGCAGTTAAGTGCAGCAATAATACCAAATATCTTCCGACAGTCGATAAATAATACAGCACAGCTAAATTGAATATTATTAAATAATCGCGTGGAATCATTTTTACAAATTCTTTGTGGAATTATTTTCCTAATTTGTGAAATATTGCATCCAATATTTTAAATAATTATAATATTATATACAAAATAAAATATAGAATACCATAAGTAACAAAGAAAATATTAAAAAATGCTTATTCCTTTACGCCGCAAAATAAAGATTGTTTTCATTTTGAAATAAATTTTAAAATTATCTAACAATAACTTATATATACAATGTCGCTAGTCAGATTCAGAACAGAGATCTTTTTCCTTCAACACTTCTTTATTAAAAAAAAAGAGATGAAAAATAAAAAGTGATTGCATAGACAGAAATCGGCCCTCCAGAGTTCATCGACCTCGTGAGGTTGGGCCGCAGAAAGGAGCAAGATATGTTTCCATTTTCATCTTTGGCATACTGCCGAATAACTACGTTTGGATTGACCAATTCTCTCTTCTGGTATATATCGCCACTCGAGCGATAAAATTATTTCTTTCTTCTCAGACGTGTAAAAAAGATATAGTATTTCATGACAATTTTTTTCAAGATATATTGGAATAGCTTATAAAATACAATTAGCGAATGTTTGACATATTTGTTTAAAATTTAAGAAATATTTTTACATTGTATGCATCATAAGAAATGAAATGTGATTGTACAGTCAGAGCGAAAGCGAGTCTTGGTCAACAGCTCAAACTGAACATAAACTCACGTGTATATGTATACACGAAGAAAAACTTTATGCGTTGAGAAATAACTCAGGTGATCAAACACGGCTATATTTGGCATATGTTTAAAATTAGATTGGACAACTGGCGACTAGGTAAAAGATGAAAACTCAATATAATTTCTAGTAGAGGAGATTGTTTGAATGCTTAAATGATAAATTAATCGGGTTAATTATTTTATTTTCTTATTAGATGTTATTTGTAAAAGATTATCCAATAAACGCGACATAACAACGAGCAATACAAAAGTAAATTCTCATGCTTGGCAATATTAGTAATTGCGTCGTAAAGATATGTCTCTCTCCACGTTTGTTTAAGAATCCCTACTTAACATTTTTTCTCTTATTTCGAACATAAAAGTACTATCGTTAAATTGTAGGTACAATATAGGCGAAGGTACGGTAAAAGGAAGAATCATGCCACTCATCCGCCACTGAGCCGGGCCGGGTTGGGTCCAGGCTGCCTCGAGCCGTCTTGCACATATATATATAATACCGGTTTGTTAGATTATACGAGAGTGTGCGGATTCATGCCACGAGAGATCTCTCTTAGTTCGATACGAGTTCACCGTTTACCCAATCTACTTATCAATTAGTTTTGCAAGATCCGTTATACAGTTTAGTATAATTTAAATTGATAATTTATATTAGAATAAAAATGTATATGTATAAATTTATATATATTTCTTGTCTTTCAAATCGTATAGATATTAAATATTTAATTTTACACGTTAAATAATATTTGCTTTATTTTCCAGCCGTCTTCTCTTAAAAAATCATTTAAAGTAACAAAGATTTAAATTTGTAATTAGAAACGGAAGGCTTAACAATTAAGTAATTTGCATGGATTGTGATCGTGATCCTAAATACGTGAGAATCCAACGTAACGAATGTAAGATAGGTTTATCTGATCATGGTGGTGTGTAATGGAAGTTACTGTACCCAGCGGTTATATTTATCCTTCGTGGAGTTTCGGGAGACTCGTTTTGCTCAGCGGATACCTAAAACGCTTACGGTTTCGAGAGGACTCGGAAATAGCTATAGACCGAAGCGACTGAATCCCGAAATATCTACACCATAGTGTCATATATGAAATAGCAATTGAATATTATTCTTTACTACAATTATTTCCCTTTCAGAAATACTTTCAGATAATCTCTTCCGAAATTTTTAAATAAAATTAATTGAAATTACTTGTGTTGACGGAACGAAACTGTAACGCTAAAGAAATATAAATTATATTATCAACGTATGTTTCTTACTTGAAGTAAAGCGATTACTACACGCGTGTCTCCGCTTTGCACAGCTATAGTACTTATAGTAGTAGTTGGTGAGATGATTTGCGGCGTATCCTCGTCTCTTTGCATCACTATTCCTGAATTCATTTCAACAGATCCTTCGGGATGCACGTGTGCCTCCATCGAGTCAGGACCATCCACCATCATCATTAATTTTATCTTTTGTGCCATAATTAAAATGTTTCAGATCTGTGTTAGTAGATTGGACTGACTCCGAATTGTACTCGCGATACAATTACGTGGTGAAATACTCACTGAATATTGATATACGCTACAAACTGAGCAATATAGTTGACAATATAGCTGCTGAAAATTAAGAGAGTGTTACGCGGCGTTATAACGATATCGTACGTTTTGACCGAACACAGTGATTTCAATGCCTGGTGCTAAATATATTACGGTGACGTACGTCGATCTAAAACACGACACAATAAACATCCAGCTCATCGATATTCTCAAAGATTTTACAGAAATACACATATATTTAATCTCCAGTTGGCGCGATTGTCTCATCTGGTTGATGTTATTTTTGGCACTTGGCCAAAGGTGTTGGTACGAAAATTGAATGTGCGATTGAAATTGATTGCGTCCGTGATGCGACAGCCAAACTAAAGATACATCTCGTAAAACCTTCTTCTGTCAGCAAGTTTTTTTACGCGAGGAAAGAAGAAATAAATAATTTCAACAATTTGTTAATTTAGTCACAATGGATTTAACAAATGTTTGCTTGTATATTAAACTATCCATTTTCTGTTTGAGATATAACATATTAATACTTTATGTAGATATCTTTGTACGGTGACGTCATCTACAGAGACGAACAAATGGTAGAATAAAACCGGACTGACTGGTAGCGTTCTTTCAACCACGAGTACATCACGGTGAAAACCATGTGTAACCGAAGATGATCCGGTGAAAGAATCAATCAATGTTGCGATCAAATATTTTTTTATATATGTACCTTTATTGGACAAGTTTCATTTCTCTTTATTACGTTAGAGGATCGCTCAATTATAAGCACATAGTTTGACTAACTCTTTAAAGAAATGCCTCGATTATAAAATATAAATGCCTGACAATTAGTATAAATTCGTGGCATTTCGACAATAAATGCATAATTATGAATTAAGTATCTATTTATAATTTAATGGATATGTTTAACAGGTTTTCATTTTCTTAGGTAGTTTAAGTTAAAAAGACGGAAAGAACTTTCTTGCTTTATTTGCTTTTTTTTTCGTTCTCCAATAAGTTGCAGATTTCCGACATTTTCGATATTTGCGATGTATTAAATTATACTTTTATAAAAATGTTTTTTTCGATACATGATTTTTACTTGGCACGGTATAACAATCACCTAAATTCGATTCGCGTCTAAGCGGCGTTAGTAGTAATAATGACGACAACAACGACAGTAACACTCGCGTGACACATGTCACGAGTGTATCACGTCACCAGCCGATCGGTTGCAGTAACCAGCCGAACCAAGACTGAACCGGCATAGCAGCGCGGCACGGCCTCCGGGCCTCCGGTTAGCCTCCGGCCGGCTGCCTCCCGCTCACCTTCTCGTCGCGCTCGTCGAGCACAGTCTACAGAGCAGAGTCGCGCAGCGCAACAGCGTCGAACGAAAGTAGAATTCTCAGTCGTAAAACGAAAGAAGGTCGTTGGGTGTAGTAAATCATCACCCGGTATATCTCAAATGGACTTTCCGTTAAGCATTATCATTTTTCTTAACCATTACGTATAAAAATAACAAATGCATCACATGCAATACACACTCAACAAAATCTGTGAGAACAATATATATCAGAACATAATTATATCAAACTTTATGTGCAAGAAAGTTATAGGCACAACAAGCATAACAATGAGTGCGGTTAACAATGTTTAATTCTTTCATTCCTGTCGATTCTATATGGCATTTAATGTCCTCATGAATTACGTCCAGAGATATAATAACATCTTTTTTTTTCTCTAAGCAAAATCATGAGGAGATAACGTTTACTCTCAACAAATCCTTCATAAACAATTTGTCTTCATCAAAGCTGCAAATAATTTTTTACTGTAAGGATTAAATAGATAAAATCATCGTTGTAATTAACACACTAATAGAGAAACAAAGCTTAAGAAGATTTAAATGCATAAAAATCATTACAATCACACATATTAAGCATAGCTAGCACATGTTAAAATCTTACAAATAAAAACTTTGAAACAAAGGGATCCGGTCACGCGTCGGTCCAAGTTACTGACTTTGTCATCACAATTGCACTTGCGAACTCAATTAGACTCACCTTTCTCGCTCTTTCAAGAAAATCTTCGCCTTCTAAGTTATCATCCTTCTTCATTGGTGATATTTCAATTCCGCTATCCTCGTGATGTCGCAATAGATCTTGTGAAGACAATGGTACACTCTCGTACTCCCTCAAATTAGAACACGTGCTTTCATTCAATATATGCTCTCGGATTTTGGTGAGTTTCGTAATATTTTGATCCGATTGCACCTTTTGTGAACTTTTGCCAATATAGTTTGCAGAGTCTTCTATTAAAAGAAGTATTAACAATAAACCAATTATACAATAAGTTCATTATTATATTTATAATTATCTAGTATATACATATATTATTATATATTATCTGGAAGAAATCATTAAAATTATAATATAAAATACTCAGCGAAAAATGGCTCGCCAATCCCTAAGTCATTTCTCACTGGATACTCACTAAACGGAGATAAATCGAGATGATGTTGAATACCATCCGTTTTTTCACGTGTTTCTGCCTCTAGCACACGTTCCACATTTTGGGTATCTTCCACATCAATATGTTGCCGATGATCTTGCATGGTATTTGATACCACTTTATAAGAGGCTACGCCTAATCGGATATCATGCGATACACGCAAAACGGTTGTTTCAGTGACTTCTTTTACAATTCTGTTTAATTTTTCCTGCGCAAAAAAATTATAACGTATAATAAGAATAAGCTTTATAATTTACAAAGATGACAAGCATTTTGAATGTATCATAATCAGAACTAACATTATCTCATATGCGTATGAAATTCCGTGATAAAGCCTTCGCAAGGGTCAATCTTGGCTGTGAGAATGAAAAGGGAACTAAATCTTTGCAACTACAGAGCAGCATTCTATACTGAACAATTTCAGTTTTTGGCAGTTGAAATTATCATAAGTATGAATCAAGTACTCTAAACTTCAGTGTATAATTGAAGGAAACGGATTTGGGATTTAGTTGTTCACGGCCAAGGGGTCGAAGGTTAGAAAGAGAAAGCCAGAATCTTCATAACACGGACCTTGGCTGTAAGAATAAAGCGCGACTCTTACACGCCTCCGAATTGATAGGGGATCTCAACTGAAAAGACACGAAATCAGAAAGACTTCTGATGTTCCCGTCCGAGCTATCCTTTAGACTAGAATACAGACCAGAGCCGTCAAGGATGAAAACAATCTTAGATCGGAGGGTGCTATGTAACCAACAGAAGTCTTGAAAGCTTACTAATATTCAAAATAATGTACTCTTTAAAAGTCAATCAGTGCATTGTCACTGAAAATAGCTAATAGCTATGAATTATTCGGTGCTATACTTATCATTGAGTCAGTGAATATTCATTGTTTTCAGTGATGATCCACTGATTGACTTTTAGAGTAAAACCAGTAATGGCGACGCAAGAAGTAGGACGGGTGCCCTCTCACCTCTGTAAGAAATCGCACTCAGATTCAATATTTTGTGTATTATTTCGCTTTCAACTTAGAAGCAGCCAACAAATTATATTAGAAACGAGAGATTCAATGCGACTGTACGAGATGTATCAAAATACAAACATTGTTTAACAAAACAATGATCGTCCGTTGTTATCGCAATGAAGAGGTAATTTCAAGTTAGCTAGCGCTTTGATCTTTGGATGTCTTGCCGGTTAATCGAGCATCGATAGCAAATTGCGAGGATTCAGCGATCACGCGATGATATCGATCGCTGATTGTTCACAGAGAGCCATCGCGATTTCTTCCCGTACTTGTCGCGAACGCGTATCAAGAGAAAATAATAACAATACAATATGCGGAGCGGCGCTAACCCGGCTAACCGATCCGCTCGACTGTCGCCGCGTGAATGATTAGGCAGGTGAATGAGAATAGACTGTTTTCGACCGAGGTGTTTACGGCGCTACGTCATGTCTCAGAACTGGCGCGCGGCATTCGACGCCTGAAATTCCAAGAATTTCCACGATTGATAAATAATCGACGAAATTTTTAACAATATGAGATCAAGTAAAATTACAGTAACGGATTTTTAAAGTGTGTGTGTGTGTGTGCGCGCGCGCGCGCTTTACTAATTGAATTATACGACATACATTTGTCATTTTGTCCATTGTTTCGATTCGTGTCGTTGGTTTTATTCCGTTGGTGGAAATATTTGATGTCGCTTCAACAATAATTTTTTTGTTTTCATCGTTTGAAGTAGAAGTAAGGGGTGCAATCGTATTTGTTAATTTAGGCTTTTCCAGGGCCAACCTGAAAATATTCGCAATATTGCAAATTAATTCCAAAAAGATTTCGTTGCAGTATATTTTAAGTGATTGCATTTTATTAAGTTTAATTGATATCTAAGCTCCTATATGTATATATATTTGGTAAAAATGATAAAAATTCGCCAGATACCAAGTGGAACCAGAGCATGCCACGATGGGTGCGTTGATAGAAAGATCTTCGCATTCCGGCGATGTTACAAAAGATTCGCTTCTCGAACGCGGAGGTGGAGTTGTTGAACATTCAGTCGCTGTTGTATAACCCTCCACATTGTATTCTCCTGTTGCACTTTCGCTACGAGAATGTTCGATCAGTTCCTATAAAATGGAAAAAAAGGATGAAAGTACTTTGAGAATATTTGAAAATATTTTTTTAGAAGAGAGGAAAAAGAAATATCTGTAAGTTAATATTAAAACATGTTAATGTACCTCAGTATTAAAATCTTTATTCGATATTTCGACATCTTCCGTAGAATGCGGGCAGATATGAAATGAATTGTCATCAAATTTTTCTGCCGTAGAAGTAATAGATTTAATTGCATCAGCTTTGATTCTTGTAGTCACAGCTTCCGACGTTATTGGATGCATTTGAGGAATTGCAGATACGGCTGAAGCTGTCGTACCAGATATCAATGCAGTCACGTTAGAAGCTGTATGCATGGGCGTGCTTAATGGTGGCATGGCAGATATCGAGAGCAAGGACGAAGCAGAGGACGTCACAACGGTAGGAATAGACATTGGTCGAGTTCTAGCTCCAGCTTCACATAGTCTCGCATCCAGTTTTTCCGCGAGACGTGTAACTTCCACTAATTTCGCCGAGATAGCTTCGACAGCTGTCAAGTTACCACCGAGGATTGAAGCATCTTCAGCTTCAGACATTCTAGAAAAGTAAATTTGTTGACCAAGTTAAAATTCTATAAATAAATCCTTTATTTTTAAGCTAGACATTTTTGAACGTTGTTTAATGTCTGATGAGCTTTTCATAGTATTGTGACTGTTTAATTTGTTGTCACATTAATGTTACTCTTATGGACAATTAAAACCATTAAATAACTATACAAATATTATATATAGTATTTGTAGTAGCTACTTCATCAAATCATACAAGCATGTATCAGTTTCAATTTTTTAAGGATGATTTTCTTTAAACAATTACATACATTATTTAATCGATCAATTTAAAATTGATCAGAGAATGATTGAATTATAAATCGAATTAAAAGTGCAAAATTCCATTCAATGAATTACATCATTAAGAAAAGATTAGATTAATGGATTATGTAATGAATAGTGACAGCGTGTTGATAGTACGTGGCTGCATGGTCTCTACAATTTGGGACAACGTTCTAATTTCGTAGCTCACATTTACTTTATGAACTGCTGTAATTGATTGCCAGATTAACTCTGAGCAATCTCAAAGATAGGTTTTTATTGAAAAGTCTTCAATATGTTAATTCTTCCTGGAGTTCCTTTTTTATGACTATGGTAAATGTGCCAGAAATAGTTTTCATGATGCAACACGGTAGGTGATTCTTCGTGACGCAAACCAGACCGCCAAAATATTATCGAAATGAGATTCGCGTTACCAGCCGAGTTTTAAATTACGACGTGACCGTGGAACGAAGCCAATGATTGTGGACCGTGATATTTTATTATTTATGCATATTGTAATATAATTTTTAATAATATGACCATTAGCGCTAAAAAATCTACGAAATTTATTAAGTAATCTTATTATTAAGTGTAAATTGAAAGAAGATTGCCGAATAATACCTTTTACGAAACAATTTCGTAGATGTTTGTCTGTCAACTAGCACATGTAATCCACATGTAATTCACACAATTGTGTTAAACACAAAATTGATGAAAAAACATATACAATATAGAATAAATAGAATAGTTATACAATATAGAATAGAATAGTTATACAATATAGAATAATAAAATATGACCCGTACGTGTAAACTAAATTAAACGAGAACGTTATAAAATTTCGGTTATCTTATTGCAACCGACTTACATGCACCGTTTCTAGATTATAGAAGCTATCTCGACGAGAGCTGGCCATAGACTGACACACTGTCTCTGTTAAACACGCAGGCGTTCTACCAAGCGTATTACACCACACTTACTAGTTATTTACTTTTCTTCTCAAATTATAATTTATAAGAAAAAACATTTTTAATATGTTTGTATTTTGATTTATGCTTGTTAGTTTATTATTGCAACATTTTTGTATATTTACTTAATTACTTCCATTGTTTAACAATTATACCTTATCTTTCACATAATTATGATTTCAAATATTAATACCTAAGATCTAATATCTTTAAATTAGTGATGAAAGTCTATCAATGCTGTGTAACAATGTTGATGCAATTTGTTATACTTACGGTTGGCAATAAAGAGGTTCCTTCAACCTTGTCTTGAGGAGGCGACCCAATCTTACCATCCGACCAACTTCCAATAAAAGTTTCTCTCGATTATCAAGAATATCTCTTATGCTTTCTTTGACGCGTGCTTTTGCTAATACATCTTCATCTTGCGCAGAATGATACAGAGTAGTCACTGTTTCCACCAAATTTTGTAATCCCGTACAATGCTTTAAATAAATTGATACAAAATTTATAGACGAGAGCATATACACACAGAGTAGATAATGCATAAAATAATTCCTTTATCGGAGAATATTAAAGTAACTTTTAAATTTACATATTGAATTCATATTAATTTATATTCATACATCTTCGACGTTTCTGTGAAAAACAGCGCATACTCGCAGCCTGGTTAATTGTTCCTGACTAACAGATCGAAACTGTCGCCAAGCCTGTCGTAATTTCGAAAAGAGATTAGCATTGCTTTCTAAAGATATTCTGCAAGATAATCTCAGTACACGCGCCCCATTCACCAGTTGACCGCCATACTCGTAAGTTCCCTGTAAATATTTATTTCACTGTGTTTACATACTTAATAATTCTATGTGAAATAGAGTAATTGGACTATTGTAACTTTCGTTTATTATTTTATGAAACTAATTGTATTTGTAATTTGTAACAATAATCATGGTTTACTTTTGCAGTTTCCTGGAAAGATTGGTGCTCCTCTTTTTGCGACTGTATTTCTTTTACATTACATCCGACTTCCATGTGATTCCGAAGTAAAACATTGAATAGATCATTTAACCACTTAACAGCCTAGAAGGTACAGTAACTTTTATCCGTTAAAATGTTTTTTACCTTATTAATCCATACTTACTTGTTCGGCATCGCTCTCATACATGTATATCAAAGCTATCTGTTTCAACGACAGCTTTTGTAATTCCACGCTATCGTTAAATATATTCTTTCTGGCATTTGTTGCATCTAGTATATCTTTTACATTGATGATATCTTCATCATAATTTACACAAACTTCTCGACCAAGCGCATCCTTCACTGGCATAGAGAGAATGTCCGATAATTTTTCGCCTTCTTTTACAAGCTCGCGTTCTAAACTATCTGAAAAATTATTTAAATATGAATCTGAACAAATATTAATATCTAATGAGTCATTTTTACCTAAAACTGTTTGACTCTTTTCCAAAGTTAACAGCTTAATGCTCGCTTGAGAAAAGTTGTAATTCCTGTTGCCCATAATTAACTGCTCAAACACTTCACTAGTCCTATCGAAGTACTGTAAGCAATAATAAACAGCAAAAAACCCTCTCCTAATTGATAATAATTTGATCGATAAAAATTTTGTTTTTACCTCAGAAACAAGTCTAAAGAATCTTTGTGAAGTAATTAATACATTTCTACGTCGTTCGAGTCGTGAGGCAAAGCTACGACAAACAAAGTCCATGAAATCTCTCTGAGATTTTAAATCTTCTGGTAGTCTATTTCTAGGTAAGCTATCGATTTTATGGAGTAGCTCTGCATATCGTCCATAAGTCTCCTGTAAACACATTAAAATTAGATCTATGTAATACTCTCTTAAAATAAAATAAGAATTAGAATGCTTTATTCGTCATTTACCCGACATTGAAGCTCAATTTTTTCGTGCTGCCTTCGAAGTTCCTCAGATGAAGAAACATCAAAGCCAACTTGACAACAAGAGTTCAGCATTGTGTCTGCTGGACCCAAGATCCAGTCAGTAACACTCGATACACCGTGTTCAAGATCTTGGATTACTCTGGCAGTATCTAGATTTCGTTCCATTTCTGTCCACGAATTTTCAATATCCATCTGCAAATAATAGAAACATTATTGTGCTGACTAAAAAATGAAATTTAAATACACCATACAGTCATAAATGTAATTAAATACCTGCTTTAATTCGATAGAATCGAGTAACTTGTGAATTTCTTTAACGGTATCCAAAATATCCTTGGAGGACTCTCTACTCATACAACTTATTAAATTCCTACCTAGATAACCGAAATTTACTTAACTTTCTCTATTATGTTTACACGAATAACACTATTGTTTAAAATAAATTAAGTTATTTTTATTAGCATGTCAATTATTAACTACTTCAACTTTTATGTTAAAAATTTATAGAATCAGTAAAAAATACACAGACCTGATTGAAGTATATGACGTGCTGTTGATAACAATTCTGTGCCCATCTCCCAATAAGATTCCACATCATTCGATTGCATTATACGAATACCATCAAGAGTGTCCAATTTTTTATGTAAATTTGTCATCTTCGATATAAGTTCTAATGCATCACTCGAATAATCTTCGATTTTCTACGAAATAATAAATACCAATTAGTTAAAAAATTAACATCATCATTCGCATGGGAGATTTAGTTTGTGTGGCCAAAAATATCTCATTTACCATACGTGTTTTTATCCATTCGATGTGATTGTATGCCTTGTTACCTGCTAACTCGTATGGCAATTGAGAAAAGTCAATGTAAATATGCAACCTCGTTAGAGTAACGTATATTGGCTAGAACAAACGAAAGTAACAGAAAACTGGAGCTGTTGAGCCATGATGTAATAATGTACACGAAAGGATGAAGCTACAATTAATATATATTTTTATTAAGTTAATTTATATACTTATAGAGATACTTACTTCGCCTTCTTTGTGTGACTTGGTACAGCTATCGACGCGTTTATCCCAAAAACCATCAGGTCGTATTACAATTACGGAAATGACTTTAGATCCTATAAGATTCGTAGAGAGCCTAATACAAGATCTAGTTACGCGCCATGCACTACGACGCGCGTCTACAACGAGAGCCAATCCATTTTCCTTTGTCTCCTCACTATATAGTTCATTACCAAGAAATATTTAATTATTTTTATGTATAAATTTAATTCAATGATACTTTTTTAAGTATAAACACAGTTAAATAAAATATCAAAGATATTCTGTACCTGAAAATTGATATAAAATATAAAATGAGGGTTTCTAATTTTAACTTTGTTGTTGAATCAATTTCCGGTGGAACACTAATTACTATTAAAGGTCGTCCGTCCTGATCACGACCACCTGGGACATACGCGAGCTTCGACTCTAGATCCTCCAGAATATCTGTTGCCTTCAAGTTTTTCATAGGCATTTCTATAACTGTTCGTTAAAGAAAATTGTCTTAGACATTTGTAACTAACAAAAGAAATTACCAAGTAATTCTTAATGCTTTACAATTTCAACCTTTTAATTATAATTATTGTCCATGTAAAGTGTGTACTCACCGATTTAATATAATGATCTCCACGCTGAACCGCATCGGGAATTTTGACAACACTCAAAAGGTATTGCAAGAAAACGTTATATAGGCGTAATACGTGACAAAAATATATATTACGAATGCATCACAGAAATGTAGAGTATCGGCGAACAGCTGCTTCAACTCCAGACGTTATACCTTTATGTCCACGTGAGTGACAAGCAAACTGTCGTATCTCGTTGAGTCGAGTCTGTCGTGCGTACCTCGTTAATGACAGAAGAAAAAAGTTTACATACGTGTAGATGTAGGTACGTATATTTATGTGGAACGTGCGCGAGCACAACATACGATAGATGCAGCGCGAAGCTGCAGCTGGGACGGAGGCTGCTGGAAAACCGAAAGCCATCTCTGGTCCTTTCAGATACAACGGTACTTTGGCACCGATTAACCGTGTGTTCCCCTTCCTCTTTATGCACGGCTCTTCCCTTCCTTTCATCTTCCTGTCTCTCTGGAACCGCATTTTTTCTACTCCTTATCTTCCTCGAGCAAAAATATGCAGAAATAAATTTAGTCAAGAAATAACGGATATTACATACAAGTAATGCAAAGATATATGCGTCATAGGTTCTTGCGGATAAACGTATATAGGAATGTAGGATTAATATAAATAAATTATTTAAATAATCTATATAAAGAAGTCCATCTATAAAAAACTTATGTTTTAAATTTTATATAATTCTTAACATTTTTATTCTCAAAGAAAGAAATATAGGAAGATTATTATTAGATAACTATGATTTATAGTATATTGATTTAAAATAAATATTATTTAGCATAACAACGGTTTATATTATATATTAATTTGTAATTTATAACAAAATGGTGGTAAGGCATTAGTACCATTTATTGTACAACCTCATGTACTTACATTGTCTCAGTGTGTAGCATTATATGATCTTATCTCATTATAAAACGTGATGCAATTGCACAAGATGATTGATATGATGATACACGTTATACCTAATAACTATATGTCTAAACTTTGAATACAAATTACAAATATAAATATCTCATACATCAGACATTACACAACAAAATTTCTAATAAAATTTCTCGCATTTAATTTAATAATATAATCAAATAGTATGTATACTTTTTACATTATTGTAAAAACTTATATGAATAGAAATATATGTATATTAGGTAGAAACACCAGTGAGACAAAGATAGATGTCGAGAAAAGCTGATTTGGCGTCGCTACAGTCGTGGACCACGGGGAAGTTCGCCAGTGCTCCATCGAGCCTCGCGCTATATCAAGCATACTTGCCATCTTTCTCCCTCTCTCTCTCTTCTTAACCATCTCGTTTCTATCTCTTTTTCTTTCCTCCCCCTTCTCTCTCTCTCTCTCTCTTTTTCTCTCTCTCTCTCTCTCTCTCTCTCTCCTCTCTCTTCCTATCCCTCTTTTACCCAAGTTGGACATCATCAAAGATCATTTTGCTCTTTGATCATTCTTCAGACAGTACTGTAAATGTGACACTTTTGACAATTTGGTATGTGGAAACGATCGGAAAACTGATCAGAAACGGAATAATCGTCGAGCCAGACTCGACGAAAAGAAGGAGGAAGAGGAAACACGATAATGGGTAACGCCACCACGAAAGATTATTCGAGGAGCATCTCCGTTGGCACCAGCTCGAAGAAGACACGTTGGGATGGTCCAGGTAAATCAGTCTATTGTTTTATAAGTCTTAATACATTTTTTTAATTGGAATACTTTTGAGAACCAAGAATTGTAACGGCCATGTCGACTGAACTAAAGAGGAAGAAATTCATTGTCTTAACATGACGATAAGTATTACAACCGAAAAGGCAGTCACATTAGTACAGAAATTTTGTCTCTGTTCTCCTTTTTCTTTGTCTGTAATAACAATGGCGTTATTTATATAATTTAAACATAATAAACATAGTTTTAATTATTTCCGAAAGTTACTATTTTTGCCTATTTTCTTAAATATAAATTATTCAATTGTTTTTAAATATTATAATACCATTACGTTTAATTATATTGTATTTACTAAGAATAAACATATTAATGTGGTAAATGATCTTTTAATATACCGTATGATTTTGTCGAGATTTAATTATTTATTGTAAATGTAATTATAATCGACATCTCCTTTTCTTTATATGACTTGTCTTGGTGATGCAAACTAAAAGATTACAATAATTATTGTTAATTCGTGTTCAATCAGATAATTTCAACAGCGAGAGAGAGAGGATCTAAAATTACATCCTTACTAATTCTAGATTAAAACAGGTTTAAATTTCTTTTTAATTTATCATCGTCTATTAGTTATAACTGTAGTATTATACGACATTCACTTTTTAAGTAACACACAACGAACATTATACGAAATCATAGTATCTCAAATACTCAATCTACGGATGGTGCGCCGGTTCAGTACTCCACTGTACTGCCAAACGCGACGCATTTTATTTTGGGAACGGTACTTACGTACCGATGTTGAAAATCATCTGCTCTATATACATACACAAGTCTAACAAGAATATATTTCTTAGTATTATACCGCTTATCTTTTTCTGCTTTTAAATAAAAGGACTATTAACAAATGTATAATTATGACGAAATAGTTAATAAATTTTGATGAAAATGTAGGAAGAAAGACTAAAGAAATTTGGTATAGGTCTTCCGGCTCCACCAGGCAGACCTATCTTGATATCAGGAACGAACGAAACACTGCCGGATGTTGTGGCAATACGATGGGAGAGATCATCGAGTAACGGTGGATCGGCGATCGTCGGATACCTGGTCGAGCATCGACGACTAGGCTCTCCTCATTGGGTACGAAGCACCTCCGGTCTTTGCGCATTTCCAGAACTAACTTTAAGTGGTCTCGAGCCAGGATGGCGTTATCAATTTCGAGTCAGAGCGCAAAATGCACTCGGACTTTCACAGCCAAGCGACGTCTCCGAACCGCTCACAGTCACGTTGCAAAGGGCCGCCCTCGCCTGCGCTCCGTATTTCGAGCTGGAACTTAAAGATACGGTTGCGCTTGAGAACGAACAAGTACGTATATATTGCACGTTATCATATAAAACTTAAATGCATTTCTAATGTTTTCAATATAGGCCGAGTTTGTCATACAATTCTCTGGAACACCATTACCAAAAATCTCGTGGTTCAAGGACGGTTTTGAGATCTTCAGTAGTAGGCGCACCAGAATTATCACAGATAATGGAAAGAGCATTCTCTTGATTCACCAGACTGCGCTTAATGATGAAGGTGAAATTAAATGTACTGCCACCAATCGAGCGGGTCACGTTGCTACTAGAGCTAAACTAATTCTTGAAGGTTAATAAATTGTTAATAAAAAAAATACAACCATAACTCTTTGTAATATAAATCGTTGAATTATTTATACATTTACTAGCACCTCCACGAATACGATTGCCACGTCAGTATGAGGACGGTTTACTTTTCGAGCAAGATGAGACCATTAGATTGAAAGTATCTTTAGCAGGTAGGCCAACGCCTGTTGTCACGTGGTATCACGATGGAGAGCTGATATCCAAAGATACTAGACACGTATTTGAAGTGATGGATGGTGAATCAGTTCTGAAAATACTGAATGCAAAACGAAGCGATCGAGGGGAATACACTGTTAAAGTTACGAATAAGTTGGGTGAAGACACTGCGTCTTTTCTGGTCACCGTGACAGGTGATAATACTGCATTAATTTAGATATTAGCTTTTTACATTTTAAGCCGCAAGTTCGATAATTTATTAATTTTTTGAATTATCATTTCTATCAATAGACCGACCCGCTGCTCCTGGCAAAATAGCTGTTGCAATGACGCTAGGTAGATCGGTGACACTGTCGTGGAAGGAACCGGAAGATGACGGCGGATGTAAAATCGGGACATATATTGTCGAATACTACAGAGTACGTAATCAAAACCTATTATTTCCATCCATATACATTTTGCGAAATTTGACGATTGTTTTAGATTGGCTGGGAAGTATGGCTCAAAGCGATTACAAGCAGATGCACAACTGCGACATTAACAGAATTGATCGAAGGTTCCGAATACAAATTTCGCGTGAAAGCTGAAAATCCTTACGGAGTTAGCGATCCTAGTGAAGAAAGTGACGTTATTTTCGTTCCAGACATTAAACGAAGGTATTTTATTATCGATGAACACTTAAACTTAGCACACGTTTGTTTGCACAATAATAAATCCATAATGTTATGTTGTAGGATTGTAACACCGTCTTTAAATGAAAAGTCGCAAAGTCATCGAGAGATCAGCAGATCTCGTGGTGATAAGCGAGAGGTGAGCTTTATTACGCCAACGCAAAGGTCTAGAAGCTTAACGAGAGAAGAAGGTAAAACACAAGATGATAAAAATAATAGTCGCTTTGGATACGACGAGCGATCAGCTTCGGTGCAACGGCTCACAATGCCAACTTCTACATTGGATAGACCGTCTAGAGCAGACAGTAGAGTAACATTTGCACTAGATACTTTGGAAAACGAACAACCTCCGATTCCTCCAGCTAGATCAAGAGAGCACAATTCAACGAAACAACAAGTTACTATTGGAAACCATACACATCGATCAAATATTACAGCAAGTATAAGAGACAAGGTAAAAGATAATCAAATATAATTATAAAAAATACTATAACTGGATTCTAAACTAAAAGAAAGAAAATATATATGTTATTTTCTGGAATATAGGAAGATATTGTAAAGGATGAAAGAGCAATGACATCGAAATCGGCAGCAACCATGCCGGTCTCTTCTCCAGTTACCGAAGAAGATACCATGTCGCGCTTTATAAGAAAAGAAAGAAGTCTCTCTCCACTTTGCGTGCCGAGAATTCAAGAACATCGAAGAGAGGAGAATTATACCACAGCGAGCAACCATTCTTCACCATCTTCAAATTTAATTTTGAAAAAACAGACCACTGTTGTAAACGAATTCATACTATCTCCGCCAGATAGTCCGCAATCGCAGATAATACTACAAGAGGATGATGAAAATGCATTGCACGGTAGCTCAGAGTTTATGTTGGTTCTGTATCCGGAAGATGAAACACAAGAAGATATAATAGATATGGGGAGCTTTACAGAAATTCGAGCTAGAAGTAGCATAAGTAAGTGCAAATAAAAATTTTTTACACAAGCGTTAAAAAACTAAGATTTCTTTGTACATGTTAACTTCATTATTTTTCATTATTTCAGGTGGCAAACAGAATATAATCGAGTTAATAGAAGATGAGAACGATCTTGTACCACCGCCGATGTCGTTATCTCTTCCAGAATTATTTAGCACACAGCATCAAGTAATAGAAGTAATGCGAGAAGCGGTTAGCTCTACCGAGCTTCTTCACGAACGAGCTATGGAACGTTTCTATCGCGCAGTTGCTGCTGAAGAAGCAGCTGAAATTGCCAAACGAAAAATGCAATTTGAAAGACAAACCGAATTGACACTATTAGATGTCGAATCTATTCAGAGATCATCGCTTCGAAGACGCCTATCCAATTCCGGTATCGCTACGCAAAATTTAATCGCTTCCTGGCAGGCCAAAAAGAATCGTCGAAGATCCAGCGAAGGACAAGCGGATGCAGTTCCAAAAACGTTAAAACTTCTTTCGCCAATTTTGTTGCTAGATGTCGAAGCTAGATCAGATCCAAATCTTCCATTTGAGACGACAATGACTGATCCTTGGGAAAGGAGCAATAAGGTCGAATCTGTAGAACGTCTACGTAGATGGCATGAAACAAATGTACCATTATTGGAAGAGGTGCAACCAGAAAGATCGATACAAGCAAATAATGAAGACAAGCGAATAATAATTCCACCATCCATCATTGTTAATAAAGTAGAATCTCAATCATTGATTGAAACGAAAACAAAGGAAACAGAAAAGGAGGAGACTAATAGCATTGAAACTTCCGAAGAGTCATCAGAAGAGATCAGTAGTGCAGATAGTGAAGATTTAAAATTATTAAAATCGAGGATCTTAGCAAGACAAATTATCGATGAAGAAGATACTTACCATCCTAGAGGAAGACCAGTCCCACACGTCGAATCAGAATTACCACAGGTCCCATATGATAGATTATCAATTTTGGAGATTTCGTCTCTTCCATCCAGCAGAACAGTTACTTCCGTTTCGCCCAATAATGTGATACCTAAATCAATTCTAAAAAAGCCCAAAGAGGAACCAATTGTTCAGGACAATTTTGGCAGATCGATCCCTCCAGAAAAACCAATCAGAAAAACGTTATCGCAATCGTATCAACAAGAAGACATGGAGAAAATAAATATGGACACCAACGGCAGAGTTTCGAATCTTTCTAGCATGTCCGAGGCTCTAAAGACTCCTACGATGTCAGAATCGGATACGGATAGCATTATATCTGCGGCAGAAGCAGCAAAAAGTCGAAGAATGCAATCAAAATGGCGATCCGTAACACCTGAAGAAGAAGCAGCCGAAGTAGAAGCTAGAATGGCTGTTGTAAATCAATACACCGAGATAGTTCGGGAACATGCGAGTCATTCACGACATGGTAGCGCAGCTAGCTCTCGAAGGTCCTCCATTTCCGAAGATCAAGATCAAAAGTATCGAACTCAGGAAAAACTTGCGCCAAAGTTGCCAGATAAACAAGAGCAGGATGAGATGTCGAAATTAAAAATTAAAAGTAAGAATGAAACTGACAGGCAAAAGAAAAGCAATCAAACACCAAATTCCAGAAGAGGAAGCATTGATTCGAGGGGTACGACTCCAGCGAGAGACACAACGAGTGCGAAGGAGAAGCGCGGAAGTAGACCAAGCTCCAGGGACCAGTCTCCAGCCGCGAGAAGAAGTGAAAGAATAGGGGGTGCTTCTTCGAGATCATCTTCAAAGACCCGAAATCGTACACCTTCTCAGGAAAGAAATAAGCAACCCTTAACGAAAAATGATTTAAATGAGCAAGGCCCACGTAGATCTAAAGTACCTTCTAGACCTTCCTCGCGCTCCTCATCGAGATCGAGTTCTAGGGAAAGGTTTGGAACGACAGTACCAGTGGAATCAAAAGTTGAGAAATTACAAAAAGCACTCGAAAGTAGCAAGTATCGAACGATGAGGAAAGAAATCGAACTAACCAAAGAGAATGTCGGAGAAAGCACTTTTGATCGAGCAAACGGAAAACAGTTAGCTCTAGAAGCTAAAATAACAGTCAGATCGACGGTGAGCTATATAACTGATCTGGCGTTGCTATTAGCTGCAATGTATATTTATTTTTTTAAAAAAGAAACCTTAGCGGTGCCGTTTATCGTGCTTCTTTTATATCGAAGAGTACAGGAAAAAATACACGAGTGGATACCACGTCGTTGGAGGCGATCTATCAAGAAACACTAATTGAGTGATGTAATTAAACAGCCACATATATTTTATACATCCCATCTATTAACTAAAATACTCTAAATGATTGCCAAGGAGACACAATTAATATTATACACTAAAATAAAATAGTATATTATATGTATATTAAATCGCAAACTATTTATAGCATTCTCCGTATGTAATTTAATCGAAACTCGTTATTGTTACCTGTTTTATTTGTAATCGATGTTAATTCTTTACTTCTAATAAATTATATATACGTTTTCACCAAATTAGAATATGTATTATTACGTATTCCTTCATTACTTTGCGTTACATTATTATTATTATTGTTATTATATCTATGTAAAATTATGTATGTGTCATTCTGAAATTGTCTATGCTTCATACGTATTTAGATACATGTAGAATGATATATATATATATTTCAGATAAAATCTTTTTGTAATACAAGTAATGCTTTTTTGCATACTCTGTTAAATTCAATTTTATTAATTATTTAATCGCGACTTTGAGGTGCTTGCATATTGAGATATAAAACAAGAAAGCAAAAAGAGAAACAAAAAGCCACGAACATTACTGGCAATTACATCAGCGAAAGAGAGATAATGTGAAAAGAGGGTATGTAGATCTCAAACACAGCGCATGTGCTTCTTTCGTTAAAACGACGAAGCTAAGAGCGCAGCGTCGAGACGATTTTAGAACAGAGCAGGGCCTCCTACCGTCAGACGTCGTAGCATAGGGTGTGCTGTATTAATATAGGGTCAAGACAGAAACAAGTTGGTGACGGTGGTGGCGGAAGACGGTGCAGGTCTTCCGAGTAATACACGCGCGTATGCCTCTCGATCCTCTGCAAGTAATGTCAATATACGAAAACAACGTTCTACGTAACATCTAACGAGATGACCTTAACAGGTAAGATTGAGTTGTAATGTATTTGCCGGTATAGCCGGTATAACCGGCAATGACAAACCAAGACAATATCTTGATTGATGAAGCCGGTTCATCGATAACATGACGGAGAGTGCAGGATTTTTATATAATTTATGTGTTTATATATATAATGAAAAACACGGTGTGTGTATGTGTGTGTGCGTGCGCGGGGGAAAAAGGGGCTTGTCAATTGCAGCTATATAAATATAACAATATATAAGTAAAGTTGACAATAATGAAAACGAAGAAGATATAAATCGTGTAAATAATATTAATAGATAAAATATATAAAATACAAGTGGTAAATAATGATTTGGTCTAAGAATTCATTAATGAGAAATTAATGTAACAAAAAATGTAACAAAAATTTGCAGAATTATTATGTACAATATTTCTTATTAAAAATGATTAAATTTATACGATACTCGTATATAAAATTCTTATAATTACTAGACAGTTAGGCTTTGATAGCTCTGATAGTGGTCAATTTGCATATAGCCTTATATATGTGAAATATAATAGTAGTATTTTACGGCTGGTATAAAACATGATTGAATGAATGCTTTAAAAGATATGTGGTTTTACAAAACATGCTTTATAAATTCATAATTGATATCTTCGCAAAATTAATTCAATATCAAAATCGACGCAGCCATTTATCAAAATTTTTATTACGTAAATACGAAAAAAAATTTTATTTATACTAATGGTGCAATCTGGGTGTGCGTGGGTTCTAATTGAAATACAGAGCGCACTTTATGTCGCAAAATTTATAAGAAAATGCAACTTTTCGCTAGAAAATACCATTGTTTATTTTCTTAAATGGCTTTGCTTTATCACACTTTCGCTATAGAGTCTACATTTATACTATTATTTTACGCGTATGTACTGTACTTGTACCGCCATTCCTGTAACCATTTTGCAAAGCACGTGAATCTTGAAGTCGCAGGTAGCCTTTTAACAGAAAGTTTCCTCCCGTCAACGAAGTATTGATAAAAAATGTTTCTTCAAAAGACTTGATATTAAAATAAACAAACTTGTTTAATATAATAATATTTATATATAAGTTTAATATAATAAAACGTAAAAGCACAATTAATTTATACTGGGCAATATATAAATATATGTGCAGATTATACACTGAAAAGTAAAGGGCCACCAGAATGGATCGACGAAGATCAGATCGTGCCAGCCCAAGGACGTGTAGGCGACGATATCATTATCGAGCTGAAATTGGCTCTATGCGAAAATTACGATGACTTACGATTCGAACTGTAAGTATAAACGATACTTAAACAGAATAAAATATTAACAATTTTGCATGTATTTTATCTCTGTTGTATTGCAATATTTTCATCTAGAAACAGTACTGGAAACAATACTCTGCTTTCGCGTTATCGTTCATTCTCATACATTGGCCTTAATTTTACATAGAACCTTGGGACGTGCCAAGGATCAAACGCGAGTTATTTTGAGCTGTCGCGCACTTAATTTCAGAGAACCGAATTATACTTGCCGCAGGTAGCCTCACTCAATATTCCTGCATGGATCATCTTGCCGATGCTAGGAATGTAAGCAACATGTCTGCACTTTCAATGTGTAATTTAAATATTAATATCTAACTATTTACCAAAGAAAATGAGCATACTGCTATAATATTGTAATTTACGTGATATTAAAGATTGGTGATAATTAATTCTTGATTTAAAAAAGCCGTACACGCTCCGATTTAATTTCAAAATTTCGAACGCATGATTACCTAGCTGTATTATCTTGAATGAAATTAGAAACTAAATATTATACACGATTATCGTTGTCAATTATGTTTTGATTCATGTACATATGTACAATGCAACGTCTTAAGAAAATCAAGTAGCGTCAAGAAAAGAAGAGAAAGGCAGACTGTGGTTTATTACATTCTACTCTTGTATGTTGTTACATATCACTTATTCTGATGTAACAGACTGAAAACACCCATGGAAATAAACTGCTTCAGACGTACATTTGATAAGATTAACCATTGTGTAAATGCGCTTGCATTTACACAATAATCTAATATTTGTGTCGTGATATTAATCGAAATCATAATGCGAAACCATATTATTCCTCGGCTCAGAATATTTTCATCGCGATTAGAATGCAGATACAATGTCATGATAGTGATGCGAATAAATTATGAAAATTTTAGTTTCTCTGCCACGTATATTCCTCCTCGCGCAAACAAACGTTACTCTACGTAAGCTAATTCCGACCGCGCTCAAAATTTTCACGAAAAGATGAAAGAAGCCTCCCAGCTCTTCCACAGTTGGCTAGCTTCTAGTAAGCAGGAGATAGCATAAGATAGCCTGTTGCTTAGAGTTCCTCGAAACTATCTCAACGAACTCGTTGATGGAGGTGGAAAATTGGGAGGGGACAGTTTGACGTTGGCGTTTCGCTATCAGTCTGACGCTGAGAGAGCGTCGCGACGACCGACAAATCCCTGAGAAAGGGTTTCTTTCGATTTGAGTACATCGGTACGCGTCTCTTATTCGTCGACGTTAAAAAGGTGGTTGTGGACTCGATTGAATCTGAGTTGTTAAACTTGTAATTTAAAGCTCGGTCAATTGCTAGTTTTCTCGTGTATTCCTTTTAAACACCCTTAAATGAATAATCGAGTTAAATCATCAACTAAAAATACAAGAGAATTCGCTTTCCTATCGCTAATTTTATCTTTCGATGAAAAATCTCTTAAGAGACTTGAGAATCCATGGTTTTAAACTTTAAATTAAAGATAATAACATGAACGCACGAGAAGAGATAAAAAAATTAGACATTATTGAAAGACTAGTTTACTGCTATCGTAACACAATTTAATAATATAAAATTTTAATTAAATTAATATGTTGTGATATCCTCGATAGATCTGAGACATATACCGATGCCTCAATGAAACGAATTTGCAGAGCGCCATCGCGCTGTCAGAATTCGATCGACCAATGTGTATCCTGCTAATTTTATCGCTCACGCGGTGCTCGCAGTGTCATGAACGAAGATTATACGCGACAGATCAATACCTTGGGAACTGAAGTATACAGCAAATTATTGTTGATATTCTCAAAACATTTCTAGATATGTGAAAAGTACAAAAATAAAATAGCATTGAAGAATCTCTAAAGATAGATCTCGTATCAAGCCGAAATGTTGTGTGTTTGTAAAAGAATGTGAGCAATTTATGGCAATTACCTCATCGATGGTGCATTCTGATATAAAAGAAGAAATTACTTTCTTCATTTTGATTCATTATGGGAAGTGATTGCTGCAAATGCACTAACGGTAAAAAAAATGTCATTAATGGATCCTCCTCCGATGGATCGGAATACCGGTAGGAAAATTAAAATGTTCTTAATTTAATATTAATCTTTACAAACAATTATACTTCCTCAAAGCTGTGTCATTCATACCCGTAAACATCTTGTATAACAACTATGATGGTGATTGAGTAGTGTTAAATTATTTAACGAACATTATTGAATATTTAAATATTATGTGTAAAAGATCATATGTGTTTAACATGTAAAGTGAACAGAAGAAATTAAATTATACTGACACGATATGACGTCCCGACACGATACGACGCGACCTCGTATCGTGTCAATTTGCACGTCAGTAGTTACATCAAATTCAATGTTTAATACATTGATGTGTGATATTTTTAGGAACGTCCTATGTTTTCGCTATTCTTTAAATAACATGAATAATGATGATATGAACAAAAAGTGAAAGACATGCTTGTTGTAGACGTAGACTTTTTCTCGGTTCTACGTGAGCTCGTCACACGGCGAAAAAGGTGACAAAAATAGGGCAGTAGAGCAATGCCAAGACTCTAGATCATTCTGTTGACTAAAATATGCCGGGCTAATGTAATATATTTTTACGTGGGCATAGATGTTAAAACACACATATGGAAAACTGCAGACTAACAGACATTTTGACGAATAAAAACTAAAAAAAGTTTTCTGTTTTATCTCAACTTATTCTAAAACTTAATTTTGTCATACTCATGATAAATCTTAGCCCACGTAAATGACCAAATTACGCGGATAAAAAAATTATTCTTCATATACATACAATTTTGCATAGATCGAATTAAATTTGATACAAATCCGATTAGATCCGATTAGATTGACCATAATTCCAGAGGAAAGTATAGTATAAATAGATGAATTTGGTGAATTAAAGTATTAAATTAAATTTTGTATTGTTTAAACAATTTTGCCACAATTTTACTTGCCGCGTGTTTTGATTTATTGACATCTATATACACTCGACGCCTTATAAATTCTTCGTACTTGATAAATTTGTATTGCGTTTCTTTTCTGCATCCCTTTATAAGATAAATCAATATTATTCGAATATTGCCAAATTTGCAGAATACGAGATGGACTGCCAATTTCATCGGAGCGTTATCAGTTATCGATGCGAGGCAACATCGTTCAACTTGCTTTGAAACAATCGCGTAAAAATGATACGGGTTACTACTCTCTCGTAGCAACAAGGCTCGGACAAGAAAACAGTAAAGGAGCTTTAAAGAAAATCCATTTAAGCATCAGCGAACCAAGTTACGAAGAGGGTGATCCTCCTATCTTCTTGAGGAGATTGAGCGATCTTGCTGTCAAGGTTGGCACTCGAACCAGATTTCTTGTAGAGATTCAAAGTTCAACCACTTTGAAGGTACGATTTAGTTAACGATATAGCAATAACTTTAACAAGAAGCACTAACAGAGGACAACTTGTTTGCACATGTATTAGAATACTAATTTAATTAGAGAGTTTTTGCATTAACAAGAGAAGAAAATTTTACTTGGCAACATACCCATATGTCCACAACATGACGTAAGAGACGTTCGGGCTTCACGTGTAAACGGATAATATATCAACTATTACGATCAACCCGGAAGGTGGAACTGATGGTGCTAGCAGTGACTTATTGTCAGACATTTCTCTCCCTTCTATCCTAGTACCAGACAAAACGGGGAAGACGAACTAAGATGGGTACCGGGAGGTCCATGACCTGAACTCGCGACGAAAGACGATGAAGAGTAAAGGAAGCTGGTTACACGTTCTTGTGCGTCGTATTAATACTATTATTACGCATGCCCGCATACTATGCCAGGGAATATATACTCCGACATTTCTTCGCATGTCTCTTCCGCCACGCGGAAAATAGCCTAATATATTACAGCGTATTGCGTGTTACAGTAAATCGTATTTGTTGATATATAATATTGATTAACAATAAAAATGGTATAATCAAAAGATTTATTAAGCAATGGTTTGCTTCTTATGGCAATTCAATTGAATTCACTCATTTCAGATAATTTGGTATAAAGACGACTTGCCTATTCGCGATGGATCTAGATTCTCTTTCGTCCATGAAGGAAATTTTCATTGCATTGATGTCGCGCCCGTTACTATCGAGGATCAAGGATGCTGGACCTGTATGGCGGAAAATCATTGTGGAAGATCCTCGTGTACATCCACTTTCACCGTCATTGGTAATCAATCATTTGTTCCACTTATTCAACGCTTTTGACTGATTCGCTTTGGATTGATTGCAAATTTGATAAATTTTTAGTTCCCAAGGCTTACAAGAAGCCAGACTTTGTTGAAGAACTTCGCGCGCTGCTCACGGAGACAGGTACCGTATCGTTGGAATGCAAAGTAATCGGTGTGCCTACACCAGTACTGAAGTGGTTTAAAGACAACAAGGAAATCAAAGCTGGCGATGTTTTTGCTTTGACTGCTAATCCCGATGATCCAACATCTCTCGGTGTTTACACCTGTGAGGCAGTCAATTGCATGGGAACGGCCTATTCCTCCTCAAAAGTAAATGCGCTCGCTATTACGGTTGCGCAATAACAATTGTAACGATCATTACATACTTTCCAACGTCAATTTCATTGAGCGCAACGTAGACAAGTCGTTATCTTACCCCAGGTTCACGTAGTTGGAAGAGGAAGCCGAGAGGGTTCACTAAAACCAGCGGATGCTTTGACACCATCTGGACCACTTCCGATATTTAAGCAGATACTTCAAGATGAATGTTGTCGGATCGGAGACATTGTCGTATTGTCTTGTCGTGGTAAATTAATTGATAATTATTCTTTCCGATTTTACTAACATTTATTTTATGCTTACATATGGAATGTCAATAATAGTTCAAGTACCACCCTGGCCGAAAGCGATCACCTGGTACAACAAGGAAGGTCGCGTTGAGCCCAACGAAAAGTATCATGTAATGGAGGATGGCATTGGAGGATATTCAATCGAAGTAAGACAAGTAGAAGCCATGGACGAGGGCGAGTGGAAATGCGTTGCTACCAGCGAAGACAATATGAAGCAATTTACGAGCTGCTATGTAGCAATGTCTAGTACGTATTAGAGTAATAGACAAAGCTCATTTATAACAAAATATCAATCAGCCGTTATCTATCAACATTTATTATTTTCTACAAGTTCCAAGGAACTTCAGAAAACCGCGCTTCATGGAAAATCTGAAAGCAGTCTTGACGGAAGAAGGTCTTGTCTCGTTCGAATGTAAAGTCGTAGGTTTTCCAACGCCACTACTAAGATGGTTTAAAGATGGCCAAGAGCTTAAACCAGGGGACGTCTATCAATTAACTGGGACTAATTCATTAGGTACGCACCCACTAAATTCATTATATGTTCTTTCCACCTCTATTTTCCTCATTACGGCGTAGATTTATTAGAGAATATTTAGGTTCTTATTGCTGCATCGCAAGAAATTGCATGGGCGAAGCCAAGAGTACAGCTGAATTAACCGTTGAAGATATACAAAATCAATTAAACGAAGAAGAACGTTTTCAGCTTTTGAGTACTAATCAACCACCAAAGTTTATAAAAGGTCTCAGAAGCTGTGAGGCAAGGATAAACGAGGATTTTCGTTTTACAGTACAAGGTAGTCATATTTTCATTATTACTTCCAATAAACAACTTGTTGAATGACTATTATCCTATTTCACGCAGTGACATTACACTAATAAATACACTTTTTTTCCTTTAGTAAGCGTAGCACCAGAACCGACTCTTTCTTGGTATAGAGATGATGCGGTAATGGATGAATCTGACAAATATCACGTAGCAAAAGAGAATCTCGGCACATGCCATTTTGAAGTGCAAAAGCTCGAATTTGTTGATCAAGTAAATATTCATAAAATATGTAATATAAATTATATTACGACATAAAACACTCCGTGTAAGAGTTTTTTTTCTTACATTTCTTTAGGCCGAGTGGAGGTGCGTAGCAGCAAATGATTTTGGCCACAGTGTCACTTCCTGCTTTTTGAAACTAATCATTCCCAAGCATTACAAAAAACCAAAATTTCTTGAAAGTTTACGCGCAATCCTATCGGAAGAAGGCGCTGTAAATTTAGAGTGCAAGGTTATCGGTGTTCCACAGCCAGTTTTAAAATGGTATAAAGATAACGTTGAACTCAAGCCCGGTGATATACATCGAATCATTTCTGGGCAGGATGGCACTTGCTGCTTAGGAATATATACTTGCGAAGCTACCAATTGCATGGGAACAGTCAGTAGTTCCGCATCTTTATTAGGATTTGAAGGTAGTTGTTCCGCGTTTTACACAGAGTAATTTTTAATTGTACAATTTCTCTTTTATGATAATGGCTAGTTTGTATAAAAAGTATAAAAGCTTTTTCTTAGCGATTTTGTTACTTTACACGCGTTATGCTGTCAATATCCTAAACGAGCTTTATAACTTGATTTTATTTTACAGACCGAAAAGATGCAAAAGAAATTCCGTCGTCAAATGGTCACGAATTAGCGAGAAATTTATCGTTATCAACGATACATGAGGAGCGAACGTCTCAATTGTATGATACACCACAAACAGATCATTCTGTTACTTTGGACGAACGAGGCGAAGTGTCCTTCAGCTTTGATGGCAAGGAAGTATCGGTCAGTCTGTACGAAACGCCTGATTTGACTGAAGAAGAGGCGCTACAGATTGTTGAAATGTACGCCGATCAGCTGTCTGAGCACGTAACAGGTAAAGCATTAATTTAATTTTTGTTGACTTGAAAAAACTATAAAACTAACAAGAGTAATTATAAACTTAAATTACGTTTTTGCATAGAACACAATGTGATTGAACTACCACCAATGAGATTCGTCAAAGAAACATCTACGACTGGTAATTTGTTAATGGAAGCTGTAGTGATTGATGTATCGCCTGATTATTTTGTTAGCGCGGAAGACGGTGATGACTTACGGACAGAAGCTGATGTTGAAGATGTTTCCATTATGGACGATGTTACTCACGTCCTTTCCTCACCTGAACGCGATTCCCGAAGTTCTTTAAAAAGATCTGCACGATACAATGCAGACGAGGATGAAAAAGTTCCTAATAGGCCACCTCGGAAAAAATCAATGAGTCTATCATCATCAAAAAGCGAAAAAAGTCAAAGAATAGAATCTGAGAGTTTCCATAGCGCACAGAAAGATGAGCCGCCGTTGTCCCCTCTGTCATCTTTTAAACAAGATGACAGCGACACTTTTGCTGACGCTTTATCGTCTGCACATCTCTCCATTACAGAGAGTCTTGTCCAGAAACACATGACATCGGAACATGAAACAGCAGATAGTAGAAAACGCAGTTTAAGCGCGGAAAGATCATCCGGTTCTAGTCTAGACGATGGAATCGGTGGTGACTCCTCTTTCGATTCAATGATGGGTGCTCCTAAGAAAAAGCAACGGAAAAAGAAGCAACAGAAGAACATAGAAAGTAAAGTTGATCCAAAGATGCAATGTCAACTTATAGAATCAGTTGAAGAAACAGAAATGTATGATAGAAACGGGACTAAAGCGGTAAAGGAATTATTTACTGAAGAAAAAATTTCAGATAATTTAAAAAGCGTGAAAGAAGATAGCAACCTTATCTCGGAAGAGATTCAAGAATCGACAAAAAATATTCTTTCAGAATCAAGAATAGCTCTGCACAGAGCTTTGGAGATTCTTTACGAAAAAGTGCTCGATACATCGCCGCAATTTTCTAGTATTTATGAGCGAATTGATGATATATATCGATTATTGAAGATTTCCGGAGAAATAGATACGGACATTGAAACTCTGACCAATCTGGAAGTACCTCTGCGTGGATTATTAAGTGAAATTAATGAAATTACATCAACAGAACATGTAGAAACCATCCGTAATATTCTTGAACCATCCATCATTCAATTGTCACATGTTATTGAAGATCTCGGATTACTATCTTTGCAACCGACACTCGTTATTTTGAAAAAATTTAGCGATCCTATTTGTCACGTTTCTAGCAGAACGAAAGAATTGTCATCGATAAAATCGACCTCCGGCAAGTCTCAAAATATATCTGAAGAAATTGTAGATCCATTAATCGATATTCAATCGATGTTTGATGGTATTTTAAATTATATCGAACAATTGAAATTTGATATAGGAAATGGATCTATCACAGCAAGTGATCCACAACAAGTTTTAACAGCGTCAAGTCTTGTTGCATGTTTAGTAGAATTGAAAGAGTGTGTATCTCACACAGCACACTCTGCGATGACATTGAAAGAGAATGAAACTTTAAACAGCTTGGTGGAATTTAGAGAGCCTTTATTGGATCTGCAGTCAATTTTAACATCACAGAAATGTACTTTTCATGAACTTTCAATGATAAAAGAAATTAATCTTGCCATTACAAAATTAAAGAGCGTCGTTGCTACTGTATTGAAAAATACTGAAAATCACGAAGAAATTTCCCGGACGGAAGCAATTCTCAAAATACTGGAAGGTACCGATAAACAGATGTCACAATTAGTGGGACAATTATCAGAAACGGAAGGGATACATAAAAATACGTTAAAGAATTTAAATATTGACCAAGGTTTAAGCAATGTGCATTTTGCTCTATCATCAGTTTTAGAAAAACAAGAAAAGCATATTGCCTCGTGTCATTTTATTACAAGTATTGAAGCATTACGTCAGTCAATCGGCTTTTCGGCTGTTACAATTGCTAACTTAAAAAACCCAGTTGATGACGAGATAACTCAAGAAATCAGCAAACTAAACGAATTATTGCTAAATCTACAGAAATATTTATTAATGGAAAAGCACGAGCCACAAGAAGAGCAAATTCTTAATGAATTGATGAATCCTATTAGCATATTGAAAGAGATAGTTCACAATGTAATTGAAAGCAGCTCTTCGATTGAATCACTAGTACCTATATTGGAATTGTTGGAAGATATAGAAAAAGATGCAGCTCTTATAGCGAAAGAAATATCAAAGCAAAAATACCAAGAAGAAAGTACTATACAATCTCAGATAGAGAATACAGAAGAAAAAAGTAATTCAAAATCCAATTTGGCTAGTCAAATACGCTGTTCTTTGGATCCTATTAAAAACTGGTTGTCCACTGCATCTGAAGACAGTATAAAGCAATATAAAGACGAAATGGAATCTACATTAAATTCAACAATCGAGGAATTGAAGAGAGATGTAAGCCAAATTGCCATTCAAACGTCATATTCTGAATCACTGAGTGATGAAAGTTTGATAAACGCGCTGATTGATCTTCGAGAACCACTGGTGAGGCTTAAAAACGCTATTTCTACATATCACGAACCGGAAGATCTTTCAATTTTAGAAAATTTGAATCATCCTATGAAATACCTTCTACAAACTATCATGGATGTTCTTCATGAACATGCGAAAGAAGAATCTCTATGGCCGGTAATAGATGTCATTGAGCAAATTAAAAGTCAAATATCGGTTTCAATCAAAGATACTCTTCATCAACAAGAATTGAAACAAAATGCTAAAGCATTTAACGTTGAAAAAGAAGAAGAAGAAAGAACTATTACAGCTGCTCGAGAAACAATTTCAGATACTCTTACGGAAATTGCTTCAACGCCACTTGAAACTGGATCTGTCGCATCACTTACTGAGCATGCTGTAACAGAAAACAATTCCAAAACTATAACTCACGATAACGTTCTACAAATCATAAAAACCGCTGAGCAGGAAAAAGAGGAGAAAGAAGTGGGTGCAAGTAAATTAATCATGATTTTGTCGGAAACTTTGGAGAAACTTCAATTAGAGATAACTAGTATACTAGAGGATTTCGAAGAATTAACAACACAAATTACTACAATTCCTCAATCGAAATTAGCTAATTCCATCGAGGAGTTAAGAAGGACCATTTCCACAATACGCGTAATGACAGTCTATAGTGAAGAAACTGGTTCATTCGAAGAAAAGCTTAATCAAACAACTTTGGTACTGACTAACTTAATGCAGCCACTGACAAATATACGAAATCTTCTCTCCAAATCGCACGAGCACGACGTTTCAGAACTTATGATACTGAATCGATTTACTCCATTATTAAGTATAATAGAAAATAACATGATAAGACCGATAATAAATTTCGCCAGTACAGATGAAGATGTAGAAAAGGAATTTGAGTCTCTTCTAGGTGTGCTAAAAGAAATCAAAACGGAAATTCCGATTGTAACTCAAGAAATATCACTGAGACGAAAAATTTTGGAACATCTCTGGGACATCTCGAAACCTCTGGAAAATATTTTAGAGCGCATGAGCGATCTAGAAAAAGCTGCAGAAGAAACTCTCGAAACTGACGTTGCGAATATCTTAGGAAAACCAATCGCTGCTCTTCTAGAAGACATCAAGATTACTATTCAAGAAGTAGATACGTTAGATCGACGGGAACCATTAATTCTCGAGTTACGAAATCTTCTTGAACCCCTATTAGAATTTCATAGTTGTCTTTCAATGGTACAGAGCAGTCGAAGGAGTTTAGTTCCTGAAGCTTCTTTACTAGACGAGAGAAGAAATGTTATTTTACGAGCGGTCGATGGTTTGCAAAAACAAGTTTGTCACATTGTCGAAGTGATCGCGAATATGGAAGAAACCCTCTTGTTTAATGAATCTTTGACGTTGCTCAATTCCGCAATTTTACAGGTACAAAAACAAATTGGTAAGACCGATTATTCGCGCCGATCTAGTAGTACCAACATTTCTCTTCAACATCGACTTACTGGCACACTAAATCGCTTAGCTAACGCCATAATAACTTTAGAAGAACACGCTGACAAAGATACACATGGAATAGTATCCAAATGTTTGGAAGCATTACAAAAACAAATCTCTTTCGCGCAAACGCAATTTAGTCAAATCGGTAGCGAATTCATCGACGAAGAAGCAATCGTAGAAGGCTTTCTTTACCCGACTAATCAACTTCTGTCGGCATTAATTATTTTGAATGAGAATACGCAGAAAATGCCTTCGGCAATTTCACATAATTTAATAATTCAGTTTCAAGAACTAGCCGACTCTATCTCAGAACTAAGCTCTTCCCTATCAGCTCACAAAACAGGACTTGTCCAAGAAGGCGCCTCTGAAGGAGCACCGATCGTAGAAACTTTTTCCGCCGTTATAGATGTTTTAGATCACGTGAAAGATTCCATAAGTGCCATAAAGCAAACAGTTGACGTTGAACAAAAAACGAGCATGATTATCACACAAGTAGAAAGTGTTATCGATGAGATTATAGAAGTATCGCAAGAAGAAGTTGAGAGCGTAATGATGATCACAGAAATACCATCATCTAAAGCAACAGTTAAAGAAGTTATTCAATCCGAAATCGAAGATACACTTACAACGACACAAATACCAGTTTTGGAAAATTTAGAAATAACAATCCCTGTTGAAGAAACAATGGACGATCTGGCGGATATGAGAAAATGCGAAGAAAATCAGGAAGCTGAGAGATACAACCATTCGACTGAGATATCAAAGTTTAATTCTGCAATAAGTAATTTAACACAACCATTAAAAGAATTGATTAATTTTGTGAAATCTGCTAAACAGGAATCTCCGATTTCAAAATCTGAGGAAAATAAGAGAAAAATACAAGAATTAACAGCATTAATACAAATTCTTAATGATTTACAAGCTACAAATGTTTCTATTAAGACAGTAATAGCTTTTTCGCCCATTTTACTATTAGATAGTCAGTTTTCTCAAATGGAAGATATTCTTGTTAATCTTGAACGGGCTGTCAACGAGGTTATTTCCTTGACTTGTGAAGGAATAAAACCAGAATTAAAGGAAAATATTATGGTATCTTTATCATTTATATCCAAACCTTTAGATGCTCTTGAAAATGTATTGGCAATTATATGTCAAACAATTTGTGAAAAAGGATATATTGATAAAAACGGAGAATCATTAGCTGCAATCGCAAAAGTCTTAATATCGTGTATTAATGATACCACTAAATCTCTAAATAAAATGCAAATATCAAAATATGTTAATACCACTGACGAAACAGAAACGGAAATATCAAACGTGAAGGAAGAAACAAAAGATATTGAAGAAACAACCGCGCGACCTCTCGAAGAACTTATAGAAGCCATTGTGGAGTCTCAGGAACAGGTAAAATGTGATGGAATTTCGCTGTTAGAATCTGATTTGCCCTCCACAGATATGATCGAGACAAAAAGTATTGATAATATAAAATCCAAACAAGTAGAGTTAAATGAATCACTTGTTAAAGAAGTAGATGATTCAATGAAACAAGACACAATAGAGCCACTACAGCAAACATTAACATCTTCTTTAAAATCTAATCAAAGTGAAGAATTACCTACTGAAAACATTGAAGTGATAAGTTCGATAATAGAGCCTTTAGGAGAAGTTAAAGAAAACTTAGCAACAATTGATCAACAAAAGACGGAATTAACTCAGAACATTATGATTCAGAAAGAACAAGTAAAAGTTGAAACTTTGCAAACGATTATTTCTTCTCTTCAAACATTGTGTAAGTCATTAGATGAAACTGGAGAAATAAAAGTTTTAAAATCTTCTGATAAGAAGACGGTCGCATTCTCGGCTCTAATGGAACCGTTATTAAATTTACAAGTTATGTTATCGTCCAAAGTTACTGAAGATATTAAGCAAAATACAGTGACGTTACTAAAGGCGTCTATTATAAGTGTTTTAGAGGAACTACAAAAATCAATTGCAACAGTCGAAGAACAAGTGCAGCTTAATACTGTGACTGAAACCAGTACGAGTAAAATGTCTAAGTTGTTTCTAGAACAAGATATCATAGAACCATTAGAAGACTTGAAAATGTCAATTGCTTGTACCCAAAGTGACCCAACAATTAATCAGTTTATACAGCAAGGAACAGAATTATCAAATGTTGAACAGATAATGATTCTACAAAATCTTACTAAAACAGTGGTGCAATTTGGAGACAGATTTATGTCCATTATTAATCAAGTAAAAATAAAAACTTTACCACCGTTGGAAATCATTGAACACAAATATCAAGAGTTGGATCCAGAAATCTTACACAAGATTGTTGATCCAATTCGCATTTTACGAGAAACACTCTGTCAAATTGAAAACTTTAATAGTAATGAAGCCGAATTATTAGAAATGCCCGAACAGAAAAAAGAGATTGCGCAGTTGGGTGCAGTAATAGACTCTTTGGAAAAATTAGAGCAATCGTTAATTATAGGCGCGCAGGAAATTACAATCGCGCAGGAGGAAGTTTTGACAGAACCTAGCAAAAATCAAAGTTTGTTGGTAAGTGCAAATTTAAAGCCTGTGTTGGAAGAACTGAGAAACTCGATTGTTGTTGTTCAAGAGCAACCGATTTGTAATGAAGGTATTTCTGCATTAAATACATTGAATGTAGCTCTAGAAAACTTAAAAATGCCATTAACAACAGTTGAGGAAGTCGTCGATCATATCGATCAGGTTACTGAAATTGAAGAAATATCAACTTTACTATCATTTGCAAAGTCAATGGAAGAAACAGCGAGTCAACTAGTAGTTATAGCCAAACAAGATATAACAAAACAAGCAATTAGTGAAACTTCTCTGTTAAAAACGATGACTATTCCAATTGAAGAATTGCAAAGTGCAATACTGAAACTCGAGGATCGAGTATCTCAAACGTCGGAAACAAAGGAATCAATAAAAGTAGTTACTCTCGAATGTATGGTAGAACCATTGCAAGAGTTACAGCAATCATTTTTAACAGCATCTTATGAAGAAACCGTTTTAGCCTTGCAACGATTGCCAATTAAGTCGACATTAGATAACTTGAATAAATCCGTGGCAGTGATACAAGATCAAATTACGTTCATCCAGGAGAATTTACTTGAGGACATGAATACAGATGATTCGATAACATTAAAGGATTTTGGGAGATCACTTGGCAATTTAAGAACATCGATGGTAGTTTTACAACAATTGAATGCAATAGAAAACGCTGGTCAACAAATTGTAGAAATCGAGAATGCGTCTGCGCTACAAGCATTCGCCAAATCTATCGAGGAGTTTAAAAAATGTTGCTCCGTTATTGTTGAAAGACCGAAAATTATCGAAGCTTTTACGACAAACACAGAAGTGAAAGAACCAAATAAAATAGATACACATCTTATTGAAAACATTATCACACCTTTGCGAATATTACAAGAGCAGATTTTAACTATCGAAGAAATTAAAATGCAAGAATCTGAGATTTTGGATGTTGCAGAAATAAGGAAACCAGTTACCGTGTTAAGTAGTCTTGTTGGTCCTTTACAACAACTTGAAAAATCTTTTGTCGCAACAGTGCAGAAAGAACATGTTGTTGAACATGATGGACACGACCTAACAACTGATTCGTCTTCTATAAGCCTAGAAAAGCTTGTTCTACAACCTATTCTTGAAGAAGTACAAAAATCTATTGCTATTGTACAAGAGCATGTGATATTAGAGGCAGGAAGTCAAATTACATCGGAAGTAGAAACTGACGCTTTACTGAAATCGATCACGCAACCTTTGATAGATTTAAAAGCTTCTATCGCATCTATTCAGCAAATAACTGCAGTTGCACCTGAGTCTTTAAATAAATTCGTACAAGAACAAAATGTTTCAGCATTGGAAACTTTTGCCGAAACTCTTCACAATCTGACGGAACGTATAGCAATGTGCAATCATCAGCAGATAGTCATGGAACCTGCGGCTGACACTATTTCCGAAGGTGCTTCATCTTTGCATACGTGGGCAGATGTGATCGATGAATCTTGTTCAAAAATTACGCGTCCAATGGTGATCGATCAAGGCGCGATCGAATCTCCAGTCGAAATTGCAATATCGATGTCGGAAGATGAAACCACTACGTTGAAAACATTAGCGAAGCCGCTAACTGAATTACGAGAATGCCTAGCCTTGATCGTTGAAGAGCAAAAAACAATCCCGCCATGTGATACGACATGTTCTTTACTAGAGAAAGAAAATATTTCTTTGATGAAAACAATAATACAGCCTTTATCAGAGTTGGAACATGCAGCTGCAATAATTATTCAAGAACAAATGGCTGTTGAACGTGCTGATGAGCATTCATTTGCCATCGATGGTAAAAATGAATGTATTCTTCGTTCATTAATAGAACCACTTGAGGAATTGCGTCATTCTATCGCGGTAATACAGGATCAAATGCTGGTTGAAACATCAACAGATCGGTCGAAGAACGACGTCATATTAGATGCATTGGCTGAACCTCTGTTCGATCTCCAACGTGCTATATCTGTTTTAGAAACACGAGTAATGTCTCCGGATGTTGAATCGATGCCCGAAGATGTAGGCAACAACTGGATTACGGAATGTTTAGCGACGCCTTTACATGAAATAGAGAGGTCGATTGCTGATATTCGACAATGTAACATAATGGAACCTGAAACTATAACTGTGGAAGAGGAAACGAGAACTTTAATACCAGACTGGTTCATTATCGAAAAATTAACAAAACCAATGGAAAGTATGAAATCAGCGATAGTACGTATGGAAGATGACTCTATTGAAACTGAAGTCCTCAAGACGATGGAAGTACCACTTGCTAATGTACAAGAGAATTTAACGTTGCTAAAAAGTAAATCTAATAATTTGGATGTTGAAGAGAAAGACAATATCGATGCTTTTATGGAATCTCTTTCCAATTTTGAGAAATGTATTTCATTTGTCGAGAAAGAAATTGCCGATAAAGCAGCGTGTAAACGATCAGATATGAAAATTGATGCTATAATATCCGCCACTCTTGATATACCATTAACCGAATTAAAATGTTCTATTGCGACTGTAAAGAAATCACCAAATGAAACTCTACACAGTTTGGAAGAACCGTTGAAACTCGTGCAGAATGCACTTGAAACAATTGTGTCTATACAACGAAGTAAAAAGCTTTCTAAATTATCGACAAAAATAATAAATAGTATTTCAGATACGAACAAGTCAGTCGAATCTATCGGAAGTAAATTAAAGCATCAACAAGTGTCGGTAATTGAAATTTATATCGAATACGAAGCATTTGGAATATTGACAAAATCTTTAGAGAATATTAAACAATGTATTATACAGATACAAGAGGAACCAAATACTGCCAATTCAATGATCAGTGTTCTTCAGGGGCTCAAAAAATCTATAGCTGTAGTGCGAGAACAAGCAGCCGATAAACCATTGGGGGAACCGCAACATACGAACGTCAGTGTTCTTTCGAAGAGTTTAATACCGTGTCTAGATGAATTACAAGAATCAATAGAAGCAACAAAAACGTTATGGCATGAAAAAACAGTACTAGATGGATTAATAATTCTTGAGAAACCAATTTGTAAATTGCAAACTGCGATGAACGTTATACATGATCAGACCTTGGAAGAAACAATTTCAATAATAAATAGGTACAAAACAGCTCTTCTGCAAAAGAAAACCATAGAGAAAGAAATGAAATCATCTGAAATTGAGGCAGCTGTCGAAAAAGACGATAAAATTAATGAAACAATGAAAGAAGAGACAGAAGAAACTAAATTGGTAAAAGATACAGATTCAGCAATAATTAATGATAAAAATAAAGAAGACAAGAAAGAAGAAGAAAAGAAAAAGAAAGCAGATAAGAAAGAAAAAATTCAACAAGACGAAGAAAAAGATCGTGGAGAATCACCAAAATTAAAATATGAAGAAGAGGTTAATCAAATAAAAAATAAAAATGAAAAACTACAGAAAGAAGACGTGATTCAAGAAACGCAAAAGGTAAATGAAAAACAGGAGAGCGCAGAAATTGAACAAGTAAAGGAAGAAGTAGAGCAAAGCGAAATAAGCATGAAAAATGAAAAGATAATTCAAGATGAAAAAGAATATAAGAAAGTTGAAGAAGTGGATAGATTGGAAAAACATAAAGAAGTTGAGAAAATTAATGAAATAAAAAATCAACAAGAGAAAATGGATACAAGTGAAAATAGAAAAAATGAAATTCAGGAATCCAAAAAACTTATCGATGCCGAAGAAATGAGAAAAAGCAAAAGTGAACATGCGAACAAAGAAGATGTGGAAGGAGAAAAGGCAGAAAACAAACAAAAGAAAGAACAGGAGATCATACAAGAGAAAAAAAATATAGATGAACGTGAGAAAACTGAAACAATCCGAAATATTGAAGAAAAAGCAGAAAATAAAAAAATAGAAGAACTTAAAGATATAGGAGAAAAGGAAGGGCAATCGATAGAAAAGAAAGAAGAAACCAGCAAAATAGAAGAGGGAGGGGAGCAGAAAGATATAAAATATATTGACAAATTAAAACCAACAGAGGATGAGAGGAAAAATGCAACTAAAGAAAAAGGAGAAGAAAAGCTAGAAAAAGGGAAAGAAAGTGGTACAACGCAACAAAAGAAGCAGGACCCTGTAAATACAGAAACTGAAATGATACAGAAAGAGAAGGACAAGTCTGACAAAGAAGCAGAAGCCAGAGAAATAAAGGAAAATAAAAAACACAAAATTTTAAAAGAAGATGAAAAATTAGACAGACAACAGAAAAATCTTGAAAACACAGAAGAAGATGTCCAAAAAAAGGAGGAAATCATAAATTTATTGAAAAAAGAAGAGCAGAAAGAAGAAGGAAGGGAAGAAGAAGGAAAATATGGAACAGAAGAAACAAAAGAAAAGATAAAAAAAGAAGAAAGCGAAAAAACGAAGGATCAGGAGATTGAAGAGTTGGAAAAGAAAAAAGACTATGAACAAGAGAAGATAAAAGAACAAAAGGAACGAGTGGAAGAAGTAAAGAAGCAGGAAGGGGAACTGAACGAGAAAACGATAGAAAAAATAAAAGGAGAAGAAGATAAAGCAAAAGATGAAAAGACTAAAAAATTGGAAAAGAAAAAAGAGGATTCTAGTAAAGAAGGAAAGATAAAAGAAGAAGGTCAAAAGAAAAAGGATGAAATTAAAATATCCAAGAAAGAGAATGAGAAACGGAAAAAAATAACTAAAGCTGAAGAAGTAAAAACTGCAAAAGATGAACAAACAGAGACAAAGAAAAGTGTACAAGAGGATAAGAAAATAGCTACGCAGGAAAAAGATAAAACAGAAGGTGAGAAAGTAGAAAAGATTAGCAAGGAATCAATAGAAAAAGAGAAAGATGAAATTAAAACAGATGAAATAATACAACAGATACAATACAAACATATAAATGACACGAAGAAAGAAGACGAAACAAACGAAAACGGAAGCGAATGTAAAGAGATAAATGAAGATCAAGAACAAAGACAAATAAAACAAAAGCAAAATGAAAAAGTAGCGGAGGAAATCCAGGAATTAACATTAAGAAAGGACGAAAATTTATGTATGCAAATAGGCGAAGATTCGAAGAAACCGAAAGATGAGAGAATGCTTAAAAAACAACAAGAAGAGAGCAAACCGGAATTTGAAGAACTGGGGAGAGTGGAAAAAGAAGAGGAGTGGAAACAGCGAAAGCCGCAAAGTGATGAAAATCGATTATACACGAGAAAAGAATGCATTAATAGAGGTGATGAACGCAGAGTACAGAAAGACGAAAACGATTATCAAGAGAGAGATACCGATAAAAGGCTGCACCAAATGGAAATAGAGCGCTTGGAAAAGAAAAGAACTTTGAGACAAGCTAAAGAAGTGATTGACTATGTATCTGCAGCGGATGAGGAGAGACGCCAAAAAAGAAGTGAGGAAAAGAGAATTAGGAGAGATGAGACTGCTAGATTTTTATGGGAAGAAGAACAAAGATTACGAAAAAGACAAGAGGAGGAAATATTTAGAAATAGGCAGAGAAGAAAAGAGCAAATTAGAGAAAATGAATGGTCCAGAAAACGCGAAAATGAATCCGATCGTTTTCTTAGGAACATGTTAGAGACTACATGGAAGCCCGACAAATCGACTTCAATGTTTTTCGATGTCGATTGTTCTCGAGATTATACTTCTCGGTTTGATTCTGGCATCTCAATGCCTTCTAGCACTTCCAAATCATACAGCTGGAGAGATTCTTTAACATCACTAAGTGGAAAAAGGCTCGACGACTATTGGGATTATAAATTACACAGTCCTTCTATGGATAAATATTACTTCGATATGGGATCTTCATACAGGAGGCGCAGAAAAAGAGAAAATCGTATGATTCGCGCGAGATCGATCAGTTTATTGAAATACGAAGATTATTCAACTGGAGATAGTGATGCCACTATTGTACCTAGTACGCGTAGTCGACCTCTTCGACGTACAAAAATGGACACCACCTCACGTATCAATTTTGACACTTGTGAGTCTAGTTCGTCTAGCTACGCTGACCTCCATCAAAGTAAGGTAGCTATTCGATATCAAACTACTGCATACTTAAGACTGTATAAACGCAAAAGAGTCTGAATTTTTTTGTAAATATTTTTATATTAACCATTACAGAGTCTTCTGTGGGACAAACCAAAGAAACCATCATTTTGTACAAGACTGACGAACAGGATAGTAGGAGTTGGAATGAGGATAAGACTGACCTGTACTGTTCTTGGTAATCCAGAACCACGCGTCTGCTGGATGAAAGACGATCAGAAACTAGACGCATCGAACAATCGCTGTAGAATGCGATACGAGAACGGAATGGCTTATTTGGAAGTACAGGACACACTTCCCGAAGATGCCGGAATATACACATGCGTGGCAGAGAATCCACATGGTACTTCGACCACCGAATCTATTTTGAGAATTTACTCCGATTACAAACCCACGCAATCACCTCCAACTTTTATTAAATCAATTAAAGGTATACATGCACAAGTACGATATGCGTTTTAACGTTTATCAAATTACATGAGTTATTTCAATGATAAATCACTGTTTCTCGTAGACACTTACCGATATTCTGATCGTAAGCTGATCCTGGAATGTCGTGTACACGCACATCCAATTCCTATGATTTCTTGGTTAAAAGATGGAACGGTTCTTCAAGGCGAACGTTACAAACAAAGTTATCTCGATGATGACGTCTACCGACTGGAAATAACAGATCCTGATGTCGCGGACAATGGACAATATACGTGTCGCGCGGTAAATGAGCTAAATACCGAGGAAATATCTCATACTGTTCATGTTGAAGGTAATTAGGATATTAGATGTGTGAGAAATTGATATAAATGTGTCTTTGAATTTTATACTGATAATATAACGTCTTACTATATAACTGATAATGTAGCTTTAGATTGGCGATCCGTAAATCGAAACGATCCGCGTTTCGACTTACGCGACGAAATTAGATCTGAATTCGCGCGAAGACCACAGTTCTCTAACTCATTGAAGGATTATAGCGTTCCCGCTGGCGGAACTATCGCTCTTCAAGTACATGTTAAAGGTAAATAAGACGCCTGTTAAAAAAAATAACTCGTCCATCAAATCCACCTTAATTTATCGTAGGTGTACCATCTCCGGAAGTAGAATGGCTACGCGGCGATCGAAAGGAGCCAATTACGATACCAAAAGCGAGCACCTTTGTAGAACGTGGACTTTATACTTTAATTGTACCTGAAGCAACGGAGTCAGAAAGAGGTACTTACGTGTGTAGAGCGATCAATGCTTACGGGCAAGTGGATACAAGCGCGACAGTGGATGTAATATCGTCGAGCGCTATCGATGGCGGAAAACCGGCGATGTTCGTCTCAAGACCTTCCAAGAAATCGATCGATGTGACCGTCGGCGAAGACATCAGTATATCTTTCCGGGTCAACGGTGTCCCTAAGCCTCGAAGTAAGACAAAACAACTGTTAAGAGGATAAACAGTACAGTGTGCCGTTGGCCGAAGTGACAGTTCAGCCGACGGCACACGATACTACTTTTCTTACTGGATTGCTTACGAGAGCCAATCAGGATGCAGAGTTTTCGATCAGGTGACACTCAAAGCTGAATCCTGATTGGCTCTCGTAAGCGATCCAGTAGGAAAACTAGTATCGTGTGCCGTTGGCTT